GTTCCTCTCTTTTAGAACTCTCTTAGAACTTTGTAGAGAGGTAGAGCATAGTCCAAAGTAGCTTTCTACAAAGTTCTAAGCCATAAATAATAAAAAATAGCTGAGAAAATTAAGTTCGAAAGTAGTGGTGCACTACTAACGACGATTTCGAGGTGGTGCATTACTAAAGAACTACCCTAATTAAAAATTTAATTATAACTTACTCAAAATTGGAAGATGTTTTGTGACTGCTAATGATGGGAAATGTGTTACTGTCGCCAACGAGGATTTTCCAGCTTTTTGAGCGGGAATCTCTGCTTTCTTCCATCTTGTGTCAACTCGTGGCTTTACATCTTTATAAAATGCTCCAATAGTCTTTTGCTTGTCTTGAGTCGCCGTTCCAGTCCTATGATGAGAGAGAAAATTAAAACATGACTTAACATTTTAAATTTGTTAAATATTTACCCCAATTTATTGTGAATATCGCCAAATGCTCTTCTTGGTTGCTCCTTTGAGTCTAAAGAATTCTGTTTGGACGCTCCAGGTTTTCCTCCAATTATTTTTACTGCTTCTGCATTCTAAAGAATTACAAAGAAAGAGATACAAAATAAGTGATGGCGAAGAATAAAAGAAGCAAGGAGGGAAGATTGATTCCTTTTGTATTCACTGTTTGTTATAACATTTTATTTGATTTTTTCAAGAATTACTAGCATAAACTTAGTATGCATAGAATATTGAAGTTTTGTTCTACAAAGGCAATTATTTTCAATGCTATTTGTTACATATTTAATAGAGAAATATTGAAATAAAGTTATTTTTTACAAATCAAAAAACCGTTAAATGGAATTTTTCTGTTAGCTAGATAAAAGCTTTCCTGTTAATTTCAATTTCTTACCTCTTCGCGCATTTTTGATCTCAATCTTGTTGCCATAGCCATTACTTAAGTTATTATCAATGAGTTGAATGATAGAAGGTAAACAGATAGGCAAGCAGAAACGTTTTTCTTCAAAAAAATAATTTATCGTTTTAAGTCTTCTCTTCACTTTGATAACTTTTTCAAATGAAACTTTTCGATGTTAGACTTTCGAAATGATTTTCGAACAAAGGGGTATTAAAGTAGGATTGATTTTTGAAAAAATAAATGTCGTTAAAATGTAGAAGAAATTCACCACTCACGAACATGGTGGCATGCTAACATTACTTACTTTTCTATACTTTGGATTTGCCAATATCTTCTCGATCATAATTGAAGGAAACATATTTTAATTAACACTTGAAATTTTATTGTCTCATTTCACAACTCATTCTATTTATTTCCGTAGTGAAACAACTTCTGGTTAATAGGAAAAATTAAAAATTCACAATAAAACAATGTATGTTTGTTAAATGTTGTACATGACGTGCACAAAGCAATTATATTATTCTAATTTTAATGTATTTTTTATTGATTTTTTTTTCAAAATGCAAGTTTTCTTATAGGTAGTCAATGATCTCGCCAGATATACATGTTTGCATAGCTTGAAACAAAAAAAAATTGAATGCATGCCAAAGTCCTATATTTTATTTTTAGCAAATGGATTTTCTTATTAATGACGTCGAAGATCATAGGGATAGAAAGACGAACACGTCATACTAATATCTTGGGGAGCGGTGAGTTGGGATTAGTGTAAAATAATTTTCGTGTCGTTGGCGCACAATACCACGTTTCATTTCTCGAAACACTAAGTGAAGCAAATGAAAGGCTGTTGTCGGCAACTCAAGATAAAAATAAAGATGTAAATAGTGGAACAGAATGCGAAAAACTAAATTGAATTTTTTCGGAATTAATCACTTAATCGCATGAGATTTCATGTTCAGATGGTAGAGAGTTTGTAACGGAATTAATTTACCCAATGGTTTGTTGTAGAAAAGCGTCACGTTTCATCTCTCATGAATAATATCAGATTCAAGAATAAAGTTACATCTTGGGTACTCAAATTTGATAAGCCATGTCATATTTACCTTTATGTAGAGACAGCCAATCAATGACGCTTTATTTACATAACGAAGAAAAATAATCAAACCCATTTACCTTATTCACAATGATTCCCGTTTGAGTGTAAGATATCTTCACGATGCTATTTTAAGACGAAAATAAGCAAATCTTCACCATCAAAAAATGTTTATAATAAATTTTTCTATTGTGATACGTGAGAATCTATAAATCATTTAATATTAACGTAAACAATAAAATGTTCATCCAATTAAACCACAATCTTCATGAAATGAGAAACGTATCTGCTTGAACGGCTAATAATTATTATTTACATTAAATATCTGCGACTACCGCTATCAGCGATTTACTACTCAGCAATAAAAATTTTATCGACGCTATTTATAGTCAGGGGAGTAACTGCGTGAAACACTTTCATCATTCACATGTTCATACACATTTTCTTCAAAGGTTCTATTTGCAACAAAGTTTAAGATGCAGCTTTGGGATTTTTCAACATTCGTCTTCTTCTTCTTCTCCTCAAAGTTCTTTTTCTTCTTCTTTTATTTAATGTTATTAAAGGTGGAAAGAAGCAAGTTACTTTTTATGATAAAACTTTCAATAGAATTTTCCACATTACATGCTTGTTTCTTCCCGTAAGTAGATATTATAAAGGAAAAACGTTTGAGAGAAAATAGGAGAAAAGCGAATTTTCTCTCGCGCTTTTCCTTCCTGAAAAAAGAAATTATGAAACAACAACCTCTTCTTCCCTGAGAGACAAACAGTCATGCTTTTTTTTGCGAGAGAAAAGTTAGAGTTCGAATCAGTTTTCGTGGAAAATTCAAGCATAACAGTTCGATGTGAAAATTGCTTTCTCTCGATTTTTCTGATAGTTTTTTTGTGTGTCTTCGTTTCTGAGTTTATTTTCAGAGATAAAAGTACTTTTCCTTTAACCTTTTGCGCGGAAAAATCCGTAAATCTGTCTGATTGTTATTAGCTGCCATAGTGAAGTGAAATAAGAGTCGAGCAGGGAAATTTAGGTAAACAGTTTAAGTGCATTGTTCATTGAGCGTAAATAAGTAAGCATATCAAGCGTAAGGTGTAAAAGAAGGGGGAAAGCTATTGAAAGACGAACAAATATGTTGAATGAATGAGAAAGGATTGTCGACAGCTGTCTAAAAGTATTCTTGCTTATTCCGCTCACATATATATGATTCTTGAAGCATTTCTTCTTGCTGAATCATCTCGAAACTTAAATGTGAAATGAACGAATTCAAATTCTTTATATTATTTTCCTTTTGTGTGTGCAACAATGAATATTTTATCGTGAAACGATGATAAGTTGACACAGAAAGGGTCGTCTTGCTTTGTGCGCTGATTTTAAAAAACCAGTAATACTCAAATCGCAAAGGAAAGCACAACGACGATATATCTACCTTTATATATTTATTTCTTAAAGTGATTTGACATGAATGAATAGAATTTTCTTTTTCTATATAGAAAAACAAAAACAAGTCGCTCGTAACACGTCGAGTAGATGAAAATATATTTTCCACTCCAATCTCTCGTTAATGACAATGTTTGTTGATCGTTTATATGTAGATATTTTTTATTTCATTCTGTTGTTGGGTTTTACAAAATATATTCACATGTAAACTAAATTGTGGCTGTAGTTATAATGATAATATGATGAGCTATAAATAAATAGCGCGGAAACTTATCAAGTAATGACGTTGCCGACACTTGAGTAAATTTTTCTTATTGTTACTAAATAATATCGCCTACACCGCCAACCATCATCATCATCAGTGACAGAGAAAAAAAATTATGTATGTCGCGCTTTTGATAAAGATTTAAATTTAAAATTCATAACTTCATTAGGATTTTGGTTATCCTGACTAATTGAAGGCGAAATTGTGACAGCAAGAAGTGAATTATCTTTTTAAATATTCAGATCTCAAACTCGCAAACAATTTTTTATGATGAAAAAATCTTAAAGAGATTTAAGAGGAAGCAGGAAATTTTATTCGTTGAAAAAACAAGCAAAAGCCTCCACAATTCAATTCTATTCAATACAATTCAAACCCCACGTCCATTTCTGTCTTTATTTTCATTCCGACTTTTGATTTTTCTTTTTGCAACAAATCGTTCATCAATAGAAAATATTTCAATTTTAATTTTCTCGCGGTTTCTTCATTATGAGATTGGAATGGGAAGTTATTGCCTTTTTTCTCACTCTAGCATTCATGCTTATATTTTCAGTTTAATTTTACTTCTTTTTTATCAATTTTGGCAAGTCATAGAAGCACGAGCTGTTTTTCTTTCTTACATTTCTCAAACGTCAACTTAAAATTCTTAAGAACTAAAACAACAAAAAAGCTTTGTAACATTTCAATATTATAATTTAAAAAGAAGAAAAAAAGAAAATTGCAGTTTTCTCGTGGTGTCAACTTAAAGTGACGTCATTCAACGGAATGTTTCAAAATTCCGTTTTAAATTTAGAAAGTCATAAAATATTTTAATGGCTCTACTGAACTATCTGGCATGAGATGAAAGTTCAGAAAATAGAAACGAAATAAAAACATCACATGATGTCATTGACGACAACGTCCAACACTTAGCTTGGGTCGGGATACATTAAATTTTATGTTCAAAACCGCCAAATGTTGGTTCTCTCCTTTCTCATGTTCTGTCGAAGTTTTGATAACGTTATACACACAAAAGCTTGCTGGTGACGATGTGATTGAAAATAAAAAAATGAGAATTCACTTTGTAAGCCGATTCCAAGGCTGATAATATTTATTTATTTGAATATTCCGACGAATAAAATACAAAGTTTGAATTTTGATGCCAAAAATAGAGAAAAAAAACATTGTTTGTGCAATTGTGCAACCTGTCTGAGGCTGCCTACATCGAAATCATTTTCATTACATTCTTAAATGTGTGTGAAAATGTATCTGAATGTGCAGGCAGGGAAAACAATAAAGAAGAGAACATGTCGGAAAATTTTCTGACAACTTTTGACCATTTTTCATTTTCGTTCACTTCCTTATTCAGTTGTTCATTTTCTATTCACAGATAGCAAGAAACAGCAATGGCTGATGAATATTCATCAAAGCCACAATATCCTCAATATAAAACAAGAAGTGCTTCAATATCAGCACCACCAAGTTCAAGTTTAGAAGCTATAATAATCGCTTCGGAAATTGAGGCGCCAGAAGTCAGCACGCCAAATAATCGACGACGTAGACCAGCTGCAAGATCGCAAAGTGCGAGAATCACTGGTGCGAAATCGGTAAAGATTTATTATTTTGCGATGTCCGCTGCGGGACAAGACTTTGTTTACTAATTGAGAATTATTGCTGTAGGTGCGAAAAAAAGTTCCTCAGCCGCCAACATTTCATGACAATAAACCCCAATATACAAGTGAACCATATTTATCTGATGAAGCCGAAGTCGCTCTTCCTCAGCCCATTCGAAGAGGGTCACAAAGAAGAACAACACAAAGTAATTCATCTTCGTACGCGCCTGGTGTGTTGCATTAACTTTCATTAATATTTTATTATTATGAAGATAACTTACTTTGAAATGTTTTCCATTTTAAACAGCACGACGAAAGTCAACAGCGACGAGCGCGTTTTTAGACGTTCCCGGTGCTAACTTTTACAACACACAACATAACGACGACACTGTAACGTTAAGAACATTTAGTGCATCAAACAAAGGTAAGAAAATGTTTTGTCATTTCATTTGAGTGTCTCTTGAGGTTGTCTTAATTAATTTATGTTCAACGTTTGTCAAAGGAATCGTCAACCGTGGTGACTCCTTTCGACGTCGTAGATCACGTAGTAGTAGTTTGATTCCACCAGCAAGTCCAATGAAAGCACAAGATGACAGATTATCAGCACACAGTGGACCAACGGATTCATATCTTGTTGCAATGTTGGGGGCACCAGGAGTTGGTAAATGTGCACTTTTATCGCAATTCAGAACATCTGAATGCATCAATGCTTATGAAACTGGAAGAGGTGAGTTGAAACCTTTTTGTTGTTGTTGATATTAGTTTTGTGTTACATATCTGAAAAACACGGAAACTTCGGTCGTCTAACCGAGTTTGGGTTTTCCTTGAAACTTTATTAAAATATAATAAATTTCACTTCACTTCACTGAACCTTCAGGCTTCAATGCTTCTTGTCTTGCCTTCATGGGTGAAAAACACTAAAAAGTTATGAGAAACTTGACAGTTTTCGAAAGGGAAACTAAAGAAAATGAAAAACTTGTTGATAAAGATGTCGACGATATCAACTCGAGCATCATTTAATAAAGCTTCACCAACTAATGAATGAACCTCTTGCTTTCAATTAATTTTTATACTAATTGAATTTGTGATCGATCGCCTTCAGGTCATTTTCCTCCCTTCCTATCTCTCTTCCCTAAATCAATTTGACGCTGGATGTTGATTTGATTTCAGTTCAAAAGTGCCGGCAGGGTAGTTACTTCCAAACACAATGGCTACTGGATTTATTTATTCTTTTTTGTCTCCTTATATTGTTCGTGGTTCGTTGTTACCATCATAAAACAAACATCTCTCTCTCTCTCTTTCTCTGGTGAATTTTTTTCTGATTAGATTTTGAAGGCAATGATAATGGCACCCCATGTTCACTGGGGCGTAGGCATCGCCGTCGTGTATGATGTATAATTGATTAGAAGAACAAAACGAAGAGTCAGTGAAGCGTGAAAACTTTTTTTTATTGTCGTACGAACGATTTTGACGTAGAAAAAATGTTCATGACAATCATAGTTGATTCATAATTAAGTTTCGTTTAATCAGCGATTTTCTATCGACGCGTTTATTACTAGTTTCATGAACTGATGGCGGCGAAAGCAACAACAGAAAATTTTATTATAAAATGAAAATTCAATTTTGAAAATTAATCGCTAGAACGGAGAAATTTTCAAGAAAATTAAGCAATAAAGTTGTTTCAACGCTTTTGATGCATTTATGCTGCTGAAGTTGATTAACATGCTTGCTACAACATAAAATAAGCATAAAATTTTAATCATCGCTTTTCTTATTTCCAATTTATCGCAGACTCCCCTGGTGATGAGAACATTTCTATTATTTTAAATGGCATCGAATCGGAGCTGAGGTTTATCACAGACAATTCAGGAGATAAGGTAAAGAATCACTCGCCAAAAATCTCTGGAGAGTTTAATAAGAAGACTTGATTTCAGGATCAGATTGACGGTTGTGATGCATTTCTAGTCATTTATTCAGTAGTCGATAAAGCTTCCTTTACTCGTGCTGAATACTTTTTAAGCTTACTTCAAGACATGGATCTGCTTCGTTCTCGATGCTGCATCTTAGTCGGAAATAAGATTGATTTAGCGAGATCACGCGCAATTTCTAGTCAAGGTAAGAAATAAAGAAATAAAGCAACAATTTCTCATCCCACATTGTCATCAGCAATTAACATTGTTTCTCATTCAATGTTCTCTTTCACCACCCCCGATTAGATGGAAAATGTTTGGCTTGTACATATCGTGCGAAGTTTGTCGAGGTATCTGTGGGGATCAATCATAATGTTGACGAGCTTCTTGCTGGTACTTTAACACAGATTCAATTAAAAAAGGAGCATTGTGAGCTTCAGGTAATTACAAAAAGAGAGAGGAAAACTTTCTTTTCCTTCTTTTTCTTCCATTTTTTCCTTCAATGAATGAGAAAAAAATTTATATTGTTAAATGGGCGATTTGAGGATGATAAAGGGAAGGCAATAATAATAATAAAAAAGCCAAACTTTAAAGGTGAAAGGTTGAAAAATGTTTTATAGCCACATTACGAAACGATGGGCTTACCTTTAAATTACGTCATTCAGGGAAGGAATTTATATTTGATTATATTGATTCATCGAGAAAAACAATCAACTGTGTCTGTCAATTTAGACATTCATCGATTTAATTCGTCCAAATATATAATCGATTGACGTGATATTGATGCGATATGATGACGACGTTCCCATGTCAATCTGAATACTTATTTAGAAGTGACATTTCCTGTAATCGATGCAATCAACATAAATTATTCTGCTTTCATTTCAGGGTCCAAAGGAAAGCTCACACAGCTGGTACAAGAGTAGAAATGTTGTACGTGCCAGCATGAAAGCCCGACAAATGATAACGTGGATATTCGGAAAAGAAGATTCAAAATTTAAAAATTGCGAGAATCTTCAGGTTCTTTAAGTTCAATATAAAAAAAGAAGATTAAAAACAAATAAAAGAAGTAAATAAATAAATAAATAAAAAAGCCCCGTAAAAGCAATATTTCCAAATGCTAAGAAATTTAAGGTTCAAGGATTACATTATTAAAAGGAGAAATAAATAAAAAAGAAAAGTAAAGAATTTATTTGTTCGTTCAACAGATATCTAAGAGAGTTTCGTATTTCAAATTACAATTAAATTAAAATACATGTAAATTACGAGGAAAAAAGAAAGAATTGAAATGTTTTTGTGCTTCCTTACTTTTTACTTATCTATTTAAAAGATATCTGATAAATTAAAAAGAGAAATAAAAAAATTCGATTGTGCAAACAACACCATGGGTTGTATTCTCTCTAGATAGCTCATTGAATATGCTAATTTATAAAATCTTCTATTCTTCCGATTTAAGTGGTATCGATTATCCTAAGCAAAAGAAAAAAAAGTGGAATCAAATTCCAAAGAAAAAGGAAAAATTTGTGAAATATTTTGATGATGTTGAAAGAGAAAAATTACTTGTACTTGTTGTGTATTTACGTAGGAGATTTATGACATCACTTTCTTCTTAAGTGAGTGTTTGCTTACTTTCTTTCCCTCTTTAGAGAATTGCTCGAAGTCATTTTATTTCGTTTGTTTTTATATAGACTGTCATATCAAAGCTCTTAACTGTCTTCATTTGATATATTTCACCTCAAAATCATGTCAAGAGAGACTCAGCTATTTGTCTACTGAATAAATTCTTTAAGCACTGTCTCAAGCAACAGGTGAATGTTTCAATAACCTTCTCATATCAAATTAAGGCCACAAATTCTAAATACTAAAACTATCTATTTACTCATTTTTATTGCTAAACAAATACCACACTTCGATGAAATGATAAACAAAAAAAAATTAATTTACATTTCCCCTCGCCCACTTGTTTAAATAACCTAAAGTGCCTCCTTTATTTTTTATAAGTCTTTATAGATGAACAAGAACATTAAAAAGAGAAAAACCGAAAAAATACTATTAAAAAATATCTACATAAGAAAAGAAATTATCGGTCTCAAATAAATGTTTAGTGGGATAAAATGGAATCAATGTAAACAAAACGTAAATTGAAATTGAATTCAAATTGAAAAACAAAGGATGAGTGTTAAGGAAATGTTCGTGAATGATTTTCTCTTTGTTGTTATGTAGTTCCAAAGTTCATTAGAATTAAAAGAAAAAAGAAAAATTGAAAATTGTTGAAGAGCTTTAAATGTTTCCATTACTGCTTTGTGGAATTATTCGATGAAACTTCTGAAACAATTTAAATTTTTGACATTTCATCAACTTCGCTTAGATTCGCTGAAAATTAAAAGAAAAAAAATGTTCAAATATCTACTAAAAGTTTTGAGATTAATTTCTTTCGTTTTATTTCACGATCTGCCTTGTTTCTATACATTTTTCTTTTGTCTTCTTTAAAAATGAGAGAAATTGAAAAGAAAAGCTTGCAATTCGTATTTTTGCTTGGACAAAGCTTCTTAGATACTTGAAGACTTCTTCATCATCGTATCAATTCATGAATGTAATTTACAATCTATATCAAAAGTTACAATGAAATTAAAATCTAGACAGCAATTTTATTTCTTTCATTCATTCATTCATTCGTGAAATCGTATAATTGTAATACTTTATAATCCTTAAGAAAGAAAGTAGTCTTAGACACAGTTAAAAACATCTATGAATAAGCGGTTTATAAAAAAACAATGATGATAAGTAAAAGAATGTAAACTTTAAGGAGAAAAAGAAGTTCAAATTGAAGATTTTAGGAGCTATTCATGAATGACGTCAGAATGATGTTGAGAAAAATGGGATCAAATAAAGTGGAAATGAAATTTCTAATCTATAAAAATTTAAATGCTTCTGGCGTCATTTTACGACAACTCCCGGTTATTCCTTCCTCATGATTGCACAAAAATAAATTGCCACTTGAATATCTGTAATAATAATCATTTTCCTCTCTTATGACGAATTATAGAAAATTTATTTCTAGGGAAAAGAAAATTGTAAAGAGAAAAACAATAAAATTGTGGAAAATATAAAATAAAAGGTGGAAGAATTTTCAGAAATTCATTTGAAAAATAAATGAAATGACGAATGCCATAAATGCTTTTGAGATTCTTCGTCTATTCCCCGGTATTTATCGCATTTTTAAAAAAATATTTCAAATCTTGTCTTTTGCTCTTAGATAATTCTTTTTTTGTCAGTTTTAAAATTCATTACTTAATTCATAAATGATGATTGGAAAATGTTTTCTTCTTTTAATGCTTCCTAAGTTTCTTGTGAAGCTTTAATTTATAGATTTGATTGAACTTCATCTGACATTGATGACACTCGTATCGATGTGTTGAATGACGCCAAAGCATGTGCAACAACAATGACGTTTTATTGAAGATTGTATTTGCGTAGGATGAACGATTACGACAAACAGAGCAATATTTTCTGCGAGTAACCAAACGAACCATGTGCTTATCACGAAGGTCAGAAATGACGCACCTTGTCGCTCCTTCATGTTTCCCCGATGCAGACCTCTTATTGTTAATATCATCTTCCAAAATGTATTCAATCTTTTTTGGTTTCAGCTGCTTCCGATTCTTTCTGATCTCGCATTGATCACGATCATGATTCTTTGGCTCCATAATGACAGTAATTTCATTATTGTTGGTAAGAAATGCTGGCAATGAAAACTTCTCATCTCCATTTCTATCATCGTTAGCCGATTGTTGAACTTTCATTCGTTTATCGCCCTCAATTGATGAAATTAAATACATTGAGTTGTTGTACATTGTTTCGAAGATTTCATTAATTTCTTGAACAATTTTCAATCGTTCACTATCCGACATGACACTTTCATTCAAGTTTTTCAAAAATATCATATGTTGTTGCTTTAAGAACGTCAATTGCTTTGTCAGAAGCTCATTCACATTCTCCTTATCATTAAATGGTGACATTTTGCGACGTCTTTTGAAACTATCGAACGGAAGTCCAACAGTTTTCATTGTGACCGCGGGAGGCGAATGGTCAATTGGTGACGTCGCTTTAAATTTCTTTTTCTGCTGCTGCTGATTTTCTTGCTGCTGTTCATGTTGTTCTTGTTGTATTCCAATTGCTCCATTTGTATCTATTCCATCACGATATAAGTTGTTGAACGCGATGTGATTGCCTTTGATGTTCAGAATTCGGATTTGCTCACCCCCCGCACTACGAAAATCCTGAGCAACAGAGGCTGTATTGCGACTAAGCGCTTGCATTTGAAGTTGACTAAAATAATTATAATTTCATTGTCGAGGGAAGAAGAAGAGAAAGGAAAATGTTTTTGTCAGTTTTGTGGTTTGAAATAATTAATGAAAATTAATTAAATTATAAAACAGAAGATTTTAATAAATTAAGTTAGTTTGTTATTATTACCGAGCATAATCAAGCTCAATATCATCGCTGTCATCAGCTTCAAAATATGCAAAGAGCCTCTCAGCTCCAGATTTCCGTTTTAATGACGTGGTCGTCGTTGTAGTTGTCGGTGTTAAAATAAGAGAATTTGTTGATGTTTGGATTCGATTCGATCCATTTATGTTAGTAAGATTAAGATTACTTAAGCTATTGTTAGTTGAGTTTACAGTACGCCAATTATTTGACGATGATGTTAAATGATGATTTAGTTGCTCAACAAGGTTTGTGTTGACATTTGATGTCGTATAAATACTTGATGTCACATTATTAAGTGATGATGATGGCGCATTTGAAGAGCTGAAGTGTTTGATAATGTCAACAAAAGAAAAGATGAAAAAGAAGGAAGGAAAAGTTTGGTTTTCTCAATCTCTACGGACAAATAAAAATGTTCTAATTCTAACTTCTCTTACCCAAACGCGTGATTTGTTTGTGGCGTGTGATGTACGTTTGGCACAAAAGTATTTGTTAATGTTCGTAGAACATTTGTCGTACTTTGATTGCTCACAACACTCGCCACCGGTTGACCAACAGATAAATTGTTTACAGTCAACGAAGGTGTTGTGGTTGATGAGTTATGATTATTAGTTTGACTGTTAGTTGTTCGTACATTGCGCACCTCGTTTTGACTTTAATGATTTTAATTACAAGTTTTGTTATACATTAAATAATTTATAAAAATGTTAGTAAGGCAGTTTGAATTGTTACTTTAATTGCTATAAAGTTTGGTTTTAAATTTCTATCCAAATCACCATTAAAAGTTATAGAAGGAGAAAAGTTTTCCAATTACAAAAATTTTGTATTTCAATTAAAACTTTATCGAAAAATGTGACAATAAAAATGTCGAAATTATGAATGAAATCTCAAGTTTTTGTAACAGAAAACCTTCTTCTCTTTCACATCACCAATAAAATAATAACATTAAAATAAACTTACTGTGCATCAAGTTGATGTTGAGTGAGTTGAGCTTGATCATCAGCAAAAAAGTTACATTTATTGCACGCCTTTTTGTTATGAACTTTAAAGATGTGTGTCGTAAGTCTTTCAGATCTTGCCGCTTTGTAATCGCAAAGAAGACATACAAAAGGCTTTGTATGTGTGTTTAAATGTCTTTTGAGTCCCCAATTATCAGCGCCACTCCATGGACAATAACAACACATGAAACGTTTCTCGCCTTTTATCTTATTTGATTTTCCCTGTGCCGATGTCTTCTCATTCTTTATCGTGATGGTTGAATTTTGATGTGTTGTTGCTGAGACATTTGATTGTCCACCACCACTTGTCGCGCCACTATTCTGAACTACATGCTCAATAATTGCTGTGCTATGTTGATGTGAATTTCCACTCGTGTTTGTTTGATTTTGAGAGAAAGTCGGGATGTTGATTGTGGTACCAACAAGCAATTGCTGCGACTCTGTCGACTGTTGTTGCTGCTGTTGTTGCTGATTATAGAAATAATTATTGTTCTTTACACTGCTATTGTTGTTACTGCTGTTGATATTGTTGATTTGCTTCGAAGACGGCGGATATCTTCTTGTTTTATTAATGTCATATTCCATTTCACGATGCATTCTCAAGAAATGTTTCTTCACATGGTCAGCACGATTAAATTGCTTCAGACATGCATAACAATGAAATGGTTTCTCTTCCTTATGAATATTCTCATGTCGTGTAAATAAATCACGACGATCAGTCGAATAAGGACACACCAAGCAATTGTAACGCTTTTGAATTTGCGTGTTTTCACTTTTTATATTTGTTCCTCCATTTGAAGTGTTTGATGCCGGCGTATTTATAATGATTTCTTGTGCAACAGGCTCTTGCTTTGTTTTAATTTTAAATAACTTTTGTGTGTATGTGTTGGAGGATGTTTTGTTGTTGTTATTATTGTTGTTACTCCAAGATATTCCACTTTCTTCTTGCTGCTGTTGCTGCTGCTGTTGTTGAGGTTGATTTTGTTGAATTTGTTGATTCTGTTGTTGATGATGACTTTGTTGTTGTTGCTGTTGTTGATTCCATTGACGATCTTCAGCAGCACTTGTAGCTTGCTTTACATTATTATTTGCACTTGTGACAGGAAAATTGATTGTGGGTGGTGGAAATCCATTATGCATAAGAGCAGCCAATCCAAAAGCTGTTGATAAATGTTCTTCGGACTTAAAATTACCGGTTGATATTTCAGCTGGCATAACATTCTCATATTCCAATTGCGCCAGACTTCGATCCGACACTAAAGTTGTAAATGAACGTTCACCTAAAACGATTTGCATCATGAATATTTCATTGATGATAATGTGATATCGTGAGTTTACCTTCAGGTGGTGCGGATGGTGTTTGTGCTAATTGCGCAACTTGTGCATTGTTGATTGGATAAAGACCATGTGCTGACTCGTCACCATATAATTTCCTTGTGATTTCTTTAAACATGTCTTCATAAGACTCTACACCAGCTGGTGTGGCGCCTACCGTAGTCGCCGTTGATTGCTGATGCTGTGATTGTGACGTTGGTATCAATGTGGTCATGATTTTTATATTCACTATGGTCCTAGTAGTCGCAGTTCACGGACTCTCGTAATATTATTAATATAAAATATTTCCTGTTTTAAATCTGCAGACATGAGAAGAAGGAGAAAAAAATAAATTTTAGTTGTAAATACATATCATCGGCTTCACAAAAGGATGTTAGGAGTATGAGAGACGAAATGGAAGAGTGTGGGAAGATTGCGAACGCATGCGCAATGAGAAGCCATGAAAAAGGACATTTGAAGAAATGAAATAAAATAAAAAAATCTAACAATGACTTTGAAATGCCGGATTGTTATTAAATATGATATTTTAATAAGAAATTAAATTAACTAAATAAATCACAATGCACTTTCTCATTCACTTACTCATTTTTCAATTTTCATGTTTGTCAAAATATCAGAAAAGCAAAAAAGAACAGAAAAATTTTAAATGGCGTTGAAAATCGATAAATTTCCTTAATTCTTATTATCTTTTATTGTGATTAATCTGCTGATAAATGTTTCTGTTTCTATCAAACATTAATTATGTTTTATGAGTGTCCTTGTAATGTCTTTGGAGGTTTTCTCCATAAATGTCTCTAATCGATATTAAATCGCTTGAAAATCTTTTTTTTGTTTTAAATCCTTTTTGTTCTTTTAATTCACATTTTCTTATCGTCGCAATTTTACGTTTGAAACAATTTCGAAGCACTAAAAAAACTGCACATGTTTACTTCCGAGTGGCAAGGAGAAAAAAAAACACTTTTAAGTGTACAACTTCCATAAAGCCATTTTTTATCGCAAAACCTCACTCGAACTCCTTTCACACATCCCAAAAACGCTTTCGCCTGCCGCCTGCCACCGAATGGCTTGGACTTTTTTTTTCATTGCCATCGACACCAAATAATTCTCCTTCTCTTCATATCGCGGGTGTGTGAGTTTGTTTGAATGGTTGAATGGGAAAGAAGTAAAGTATTTCTGATGTTAGTGGGTGTAAGGGATATTCTCGCATCCCTCTCTCTCTTCATTCCCTTCGCACTGTGTCTGCGTTAAATTTATTTTTTTTATCTTTTCCCTTCAATGAGGGTTGGTTGGGGGAGATTCTGTTCAGATTTTATGTGCCGTGCCGTCTTTTTGAAGATTTTATTAATATTTAAACTTTCCTCTAAGGGTATGAATGAAAATTAACAAGCAACTTCGAATATTGAGATGTAAATCTTTCATGAATTTATGTCGATAAGAATGAGGGTTTGTTTTAATGATTTCATTGCGCATCCTTATGATGTTTTTCGAACAATACACTCATAACTCATTGAAGTAAGTCATTGTATGTATTGTTATTCGCTACGCCGACGAATGGAAAGTGAAAATCAAAACAAAACTTGCGAGCCGTCGTTGTCATTCTTCTTCTGATGTTGTTCTGTTGATTGTATTAGAATGGAGAAATGTTGACTGAACAATATAGATTTGTGCGATTTATTGAGAGGATGGACAATTGAATGTCGAAGGTCGATGAAATCTTTTAAATATTAATTTCGATTTTTATTTTCAGTGATATTGCGTACACATCGTACACGAAACATTAATTAACAGCAGCGAAAAAAAAACATAGCGACACAGCTTGAAATAATTAGGAAACGCAACATCTCCACACACCTTCTCGCATCATTGAAAGCGACTAGAAATAAAATTTTATAAAAAAAAATACTCAGCGCCACTCATGTCGTACATTTTAGCCATCACATTCCTTTCCACTTTGATCAAAGTTTCAATGAAACGCAACACAGAAATTGACTATTCCCACCCAACAGCAGCAAAAAAATAAAAAAAGAAGAAAAAAAGTTGCCTATGTCCACACAAACAATTTTTACAACACAAAAGAAGAAAAAAAATAATAACACAGCGGATGGGATACAAGGCGAGACACCCAACAGCTAATTTTTTATTTTTATTTTTCGATTATTATTTTTCGTATCCATAAAAAACCCGTTTGCCTTATTTATCTTCTTCTTTCGACCCACAAGAAGACGAAATCGAAAAAAGAAGGCAAACGTTCACATGCACACAACTACACCATTTCTACCCTTTTTCTTTCCTCATTTCATTTTGCGTCGATGTTTCCGACCCACCGGTACAAGTTGAAGAATCTTTCACGACTTACAACCGCGTTCATACCATCACAGAAAAGATCAAGGCTTTTTCGTTTTTGTCTTTTTCTTTTCTTTGTTCGTCTTATACATGAAATATTTTTCTTCTGTCCCTCTCCCTACCTTCACCCCCCAACAGAGAACTAGTTTTCGGGTATGAGTGTCGTCGTCTTCTTATTCTTCGTTCCCAACCCACATATTATTTCAGAATGCATGTTCAACATCCTCTCTAAAAATACATTTTTTGGATGGTACGTTTCAACGTCGGGTGACTGGGTGAATACAGAGATTCAAGGTTACTCGACTCGCAGTAATAAAATACAAAAAAGAGCGTCAAAAATTCATCGTCGTTCTTCTTTATGTATGAATGTGTGGTGCGAAGGGACTTGTGGGTGGCATTTCAATGTAGTTTCGCGGAAAACATAATCAAATAATATATGCAAATTGATTAACGACTCAACTTAAACAGATTAAATGCCAATGTCTTTTCATTCTATAGACCAAACCCGACATAATTATTGGTTGTGGGTGGGAGGTTGAAATTCAAACACAAAAAAAATATATAAACTATAAAAAAATATTAAAATAAAGACTTACCAAAGAAAAAATAAACAAAATGATAATAAATTCTTTTCATAAACTTTAAATGACAAATTTTAAGGCACTTGACAAAAGCTGTAGAGTTTTTAAATCAAATGAAAACAAAAACATTTGAAGACTTCCAAACGCACTTGTGATTACATGCTTTTCTATGGGTAGAATGACAAAGTGGTGTAGAAGCAGCAGTTTTAAAGTCTACAACAAAATATGTCTTACGTTTGATGACTTCTGATGGAATGTTTCGTGCTTTTCCACGTAGGAAGACTTTAAACTCTTCTAGAGAGTGGTGAATAAAATTACGAATTCAGCACCTGTTGTACCAAAGTATTTTCTTTAAGGAAATTCACATAAATTTAATATTGATGGTTGAAAAATTTTAAAGATCTATTGATTATTTTATTTTTTAAAAGTTTGATGTAACATGAAAATGGATTTATTACATTCATGAGGAATCCGTTGACGTTTCAAAATACTCACCACTGAAACGCTGAAAAGAACAAGTTACAACCCCCAACTTGGTTGCTTAAAGGGTACTAAACTATAGCTCGATTATTAAGATTAAAATCTTTGTTTCTTCATCAACATATTAAAGTAAATTTACTCTAAATAACACAAAACTATAAACGGATTACGCTCCAATTGATATTATTTTGTTTAGTGGTAACAAAAGCTAATATATTAAAACTTTAATTTAAATTAAAATCTTAATTTAAAATTGAAAACGTAAAACAAGAAGGAAAAAAAAAGCAAAAACATGAATCAGGAAGAAAATCTTGAAAATCAGTCGATCTGCAGGCTAGCGACGAAGAAACAATCTTTAGACGATATGTACAGTGTTCCAGCAAACTTTCTCGAAATCGATGTGATCAATCCGCAGACAACGATAATTGCTGGAAAAAAGAAATTTACTGATTATGAAATTAGAATGCGAGTGAGTTTTATTTTCTCAGAAACATTTGTTGTTGTTTTTGGTATTTTCGTCTGTTCCATTCATCCTATCAGCTTATAACTTATCAACCGTTCTTTTATAATTCTCTCGCATGATGATGACTAACATCAGCAATGATTTTTTATTAAATAATAACATTAGAGGTTGAATAATGAGCTCTGCTTAATTGAATAAATCATTTTGGTCGCTTGTGGACAATTCGTGGAATTAAATCGATTTGCTTGTAAATTACGTGACGTTACAGCACTAACAAAAACATGCATCAAATAATTTCATTAGAATGCTTTCTAAATTCGTTTTAGACAAACCTACCTGTCTTCAAAATAAAGGAATCAAGTGTGCGAAGACGATACAGCGACTTTGAATGGTTAAGGAATGAATTGGAACGAGATAGTAAGGTAATTAATTCTTCAATCTCATTTTAAAGATAACTTTTGCAACAATTTTTAATAAAATATTATTTCATTCAGATTGTAGTTCCACCATTGCCATCGAAAGCCTGGAAGCGCCAAATGCCATTCCGCAATGATGAAGGAATATTTGAAGAACAATTCATCGAAGATCGCCGCAAAGGACTTGAAACATTCGTAAATAAAATTGCTGGACATCCATTGGCTCAAAATGAAAGATGCTTACACATGTTCTTGCAAGAGCCGACGATTGATAAAAACTACACACCTGGAAAAGTTCGCAACACTTAAATGAAAATTCTTTTGTAACATGAGTTGATTAAAAGCAATCTTTATTTTCTTTTTTTCGTTTAAAATCAATATTTAGTTAAAGCATAAGCTCGGTGAAATTATGATTATCAATTTTATATTTTCATTCAATAATGTTTCGAATTTTTTTTCATTACTTTTTTTGAAAAATAGTTTTTGAATTGTAATCATGTGTTAAACAATAATAGTGAAGCGACTCAATGACCACGACGGTGAATACTTGTGCAACGTAAACAATTACAGGTCACTTTACATGTTATGAATGTCAAAGTAATCATAAAATATATTTTCACCGTCGAATTGAATCGAAAGTCTTTACATATATTATCAGTTAAAGAAATATGATGTTGCTCTGACAGTATTCATAAATGATACAATTGAACGAGATTAGAAACAAATTTGTTGGACGCAAGAGCTTTTATTATGAGCATCATTTATGAATACAGACAAAACTGTAAGAATGAATAAGTTTGGTATAGAGAAAATAAATAAAAATATAACATATGAATTTTGAAAAAAAAACCAATATTTTTTTTATTGATGATTGAATTATTTTTTCCTGTTTCATACGATTAAAAATTGTTTAAAATTGGTCAGCGAAATCAGTGATAAGATTTTTTTTCTATAAAACATCTACCTCAACAAAAAATCAGTTCATCATATCCAGAAAAATTAAAATCAAGGGCGAGAATATTTTTTTCATTTCGTAATTATTATCACTCGTTTATGTATGTCGTTAAATGATTACAACGATTGCTTCTTGAACTACCTACTCAGGCGATAAAAAGGCCATCAAGAAATTACATTCCAAAAAGTTTTATTGATAACATTTCGTGAACGCTAGAGATTAAACGAGATTCATTTGTTGATATTATCATGAATGCATTTTAGATAAAAGATGATTTCATGCATGGACCGATATCATCAGATCAAATTAATTAATTCCCAGTTTGTCAATTAAATTCGAATTACCTACAAGTTTTTATTTTATAATTGTAGATATTTTACAGTTTATAAATAATAAAAACTTTAATGTAAACTTCAAATAAACTTTGTTTACAATTTGTGATGTAAACTTTGTAAATAAGACAGTCCGACATAAATATTTTGTTCGTGTACTTGTGAAACATTTCTGTAATGTACTCAGTCATCATTTCCGACTTTGGTACGTTCGCGCGGGTTTGACCTCCCATACTTAAAACACAGTTTTCCTCACTCCCTGATAAAAAAATCACTCCCTGATATTGCGATGACAGCGCCGCCATGTGCACATGGAACATTTCTTAACTCATATTAATATCGGTAGATGTCACTTTGTCGCTACAAAAAAGTAAATCACAAGATTTGACAGTCAAATTTAATTAATAAACTATTAAAACCAAACTAATTCAAATGATTTGAATATTAAACACTTTTCAACACTTTCTTGGAATAGTATTAATGTTAAGAAAGTAAGTGATAAAACTCGAAATCAATCATAAAATAGCAGACAAAACCGCAACGAGTAAATTTATTCAAAATGCTTGAAGTTAAATTGAACAACCAGCATGAAATAGCGTAACTTATCAATGCTAATGCGTCATTATTTGCAAGAGTGCAACTTCAGTTGAAAGCACAAAAAATCGATATAAAAAAATATTCTCAATATCGTCGTCATCCAACATGTTTGTAAGTGCCTTGATTAATGTTCTTTTCCTTCTTCTCACGACTTTTAGATGCTCGAAAAATGCCAACTGAAGTATTCATGCGTGAGCAACAATGTAAAACTGACGTGCATGTGAATGATAAACTTTCCAATAAAGTCGACAAAAAGTCTAAAACTTTCTCTAGGACAAAAAAAGAGAATAAAAAAGTCAAAACGCAAAACAACACAGAAGCGAATCTTTTCAGAGTAAGAAAAAAGTTTCATCGTACAACATCATCGTCACAAAATAGTGAAGACTTGTTGCCAAAAGTATTAAAGGAGAAGAATCGAAGCAATAGTGACGACGTTCATCCAGACGTGAGTAAAAGTGTTGATGCAACAAATAACCTTAGAATTGATGGTACCGATGAAAGTCATGAAGATGTGGCAATAAAGCAACAAAATCAGAAACGTAAATTAATTAAAGAAAAAGATAAAAAGTTAAGTAAATTGCAAAAGTTATCGCCAACAAAGCAAATCGATAGACGAGAGGACAACAAGGACGACGACACATACAAAATGTACGAATATCGAACACAAACGGCAAATGCACCCAAGGCCGATACTGAATCGAGCTTCCTTACAAAAAATGATGCAACAGAAGAAAATCTCATAAACGCATTTTATCAGCAGCAATGTTTGGGTGGTAGCAATAATTCTATCGCCACGTTGTGCAATATTGGAAATTCATGTTACTTGAATTCAGTCATTTATACTTTAAGATTCGCTCCACACTTCCTTCATAGACTTCATCATCTTGTCGATGATATGAGACAAGTTTATCAAAGAATTGGACAGCATAAGATCAAAAGTTCATCATTAGGAAGAAATGTTAGTGGACTTCAAGGTCACAATGGACGAAGTTGGAGCTCAAAAGATTTAGTTTCATTAAATGGAATTCATCCTTCGAATGGTCTCGATCCAGTGTTAAAAAACAATCGACAAATAGCAACGGAGAAGCTTCATGAGCTTTATCAAAGTCTTCATAGAAATGAATCAATCGATTCAATTGAATCTTTCCATGCTGGGACATTCTTGCAAGCAATTCAAGATGTGAGCTCGATTTTTGAAGGAAATCAACAGCAAGATGCACATGAGCTTTTAATGTGCATCTTGGACAGTATACGTGAAACATGCTCGACGCTTGTTAAGACGATTAAAGAAAATCCCGAAATTATGAATCACAATGTTCAACAAAATTCCGAGAGCAATGAATTGACGTCGCCACCACAGTCAAGTGTCCACACTTCGCAGTCATTGAAATCGATTTTCTCGAGAAAGATCAGACGAAAAGATACGTTGAAGAGTAATGGCGGTACAAGTTCGCCGATTAAAGAAAATGTCGCCGACAACAACAACATTACGACGATGACAATCGAAGAAGAGTCAAGTGGTGGTGATGTGAAAACTAATAATGAAATGACGACAAATGATGTTGATAGCAGCAATGATAAAGTAAATGAAGCGATTAAGCGACTTGACCTTGATTTCTTTTGCAAGGACTTTGAAGGTGTCACACTTTTCACGACAAAATGTCTCACATGTGAAACTGTGACCGAACAAAAAGAAACAATGGTTGACATTGCAATTCCAATTAGTCCCGATACCTTGACACAGCCAATCGATCCGCAATTATTTTTTCAGGTAATATTTAACTGCATGTGCATGTGTGGAAAATCGGAGACGTTTAAAAATGTATAAAAAGTCGATAAGTGAGAGTCGGAGAATTGTGCGATTGGAAATTGTTTTTCCTTCACTTTATTTACACAATTTCCTGATTTTCACTTCTACAAAATGTTTTGAATTAAAAATAGAGCATCATTTAAAACAATTTTTTGATACAATGCAAGTTCACGTCTCAATAAATTTTTCCATTTCCATCGCATGTTCGTTTCAAGGTTTCAATGTCAATTGATTAATTTTAAATTTCTCTTTCTTCCAACAGAATTCTTGCATCACTCGTGAATATTTTCGTGTCGAGAACCACTTTCGTTGTGATAAATGTTGCGGCTATACAGAAGCAATTCGATCAATCTCATTTGAAATTCTGCCACGACTTTTAGTATTGCACATTAAACGATTTTCGGGTGGAATGGAGAAAATCAGCAGCTACAGCCCAACGCCATTCATTCTCAAATGTTTTTGTAACAAATGTTATAAGAAGCGAGATGAAGATAAGTTGCATTATTATAAATTATATAGTGTCATTACGCATGTCGGTGCCACAATGTCTGTTGGACATTACATTGCATACACGTGTTCGTTGGATATCTACAATGAATACATAAACTGTTGTTATGAGAAGCGACAATTGTCACTAGAATCAAATAATAACCACGCAAATAATAATTCACATCATCAGCAACAACAACAGCCAACGACGAATAATGTTGAGAAAAATTCTGGCATTATGAAGAAATTAATTTATGGAAGTCGAAAAGCATCAAGTAGCGGTGATATGACTAAAAGTTTAAAGCCAATGAATGGTTTAAGTAAAATGATGATTAATGGGATTGAAAAGTTGAGTTTAAATTCAGATAAAAATCAAAATAATTCGTCTTCGAATGGTGTTTCAAGTGTTCCATCAAGTCCACCAAAAACTGTTTGTCCAAGTTCAAATTGTTGTGGAATTTATGTGAAGAACTTTTCAACAATTGTTGAAAATTATCACAATTCAAATGCAAGTCAACAACAGCAACAAGAGAAGTCATCAAATGACGAAAATATTCAAAATGATAATGGTGAGACTGCATCATCAAAGCCATCATTAAATGATTTAAACCAGAAAATCTGGTACATGTGTGATGATGATAAGATAAAAATTATGACGCAACGTGAATTTGAAGACGCTCTTTCAAGAAATCAAAAAGTAATGATCACACCTTACTTGCTTTTTTATGCACGATATGACACAGAAAATATTTCATCAAATACTTAAAACATTTAAATTCATCTAGAAAAGAAGTAACTGTGAGAGAAATTGTCACTCATTATGACCAAAGGAATTCGATTGATTATTTCTGTCTGTAGTTGTATTATTTTTATTAATCTAAACAAATATTTGATCGTGTTCCCTTGGATCGGATGATAAATAATGATGACAGTTGTCAGTTACAAAGTGATAAATGAATCATGTGTTTTGTGTTTCTAATTAATATTAAAAACAAGTAACAAATTCCAAGAATCTTTAAATGTGAAATAGCAACAACATATTTATTTATTAGCCAACGAAACAAACAATAATCTGATAAATGATAGTGAGAAGCAACCTTGCTGGATAAATAGTTCATTATGAACATCGCTTTCATTTTTGATCAGGCTCATTGTATTGTCAAGAAGAGCTTGCCTTATCTGAACAAACAAACAAACAAACAAAAAATAAATTTCTATCGTAAAACTGCTTGATGACTCCCCATTTATGCCATCATCATGGAACCCTTTCCTCTAAATGCCTCATATAAACATTCATGATTAGTTTACAGATTAGTGTGCTTGATAAATCCTTCAAGGATAAATCGTAATCAGAGAAAGTTCTTTCATGAATATAATAAATTTAACTTCAAACGTTTGATGATCCGAAACGTGAACATTCTTATCGGGAAAACTGTTCGTTGTACGATGAGTGTCAGTGGCTTTAATGTATGAGTAAATGTGATGAATAATATCACGTAATTTTATTCATTTAGGATCTGATTACAAGACAATTTTTGTAAACATTTGTGCTTTTTTAACCACGATCATCAAATGTATTAAAAGAGAGAAAGAAGAAGCATTTAATTGCATAGCAACTAAGAATAATTTGTATAACTTTCTGTTATAATTTATATCTTTTAAACATTTAATTTAACTTAAAATAAAACAAGAAATTATTATTAACATATGTTAGTATATTTTATAAGTAAGAAAATATTTAAAACTACTTAAAACTGACCACTCGTTGGCACGACTGGTCTTCCTGCTCTTTGTAAGAAGATTATCTAAGTATAAAACAACAAAAATCACATTCGAATGTTTAACACTTATGAAGATGAAGATAAATTCTGTGCTGCAGTTAAAAAATGTTATTCACATCTAAGAAATCTATATTAATAAAAGAAATCTCCGATTGTATGTGCAAATCATGTAAAAAAAGATTCTTCATTCAAAATCTAAAGTAAATTTTCAGTGTCAACGTCGAAATTCCGCCACGTGGTTTTGTTGTAAACATCCGTGAATCATATCAAGCCACATGATGATCAATGAAACAACTACATTTACAAGATATAAATGTATATCCATCTCATTCCGTTTGTGGTGTGCAAATCGCGTGTTTCATTGCGCAAATGCCAAACAAAGTTTGCTATTCCATTTGATTCTTTCTGTTTTCAGTCTAGTTTGTTGGCTTCGGGAAGAAAGTTGTCGAAAAAATTTTTGTTGTTATTTTTTTCTCTCTCACTCTTTTCGAGGAAAAAATTATTTTATTGCAACTTAAAAGAGAAAAAGTATTGAGGATTAATCGTTAGGATTATTTTGGATCGACAGTCGGCTTGTTGAGATTAGCAACGTAAGATTTGACATCACCAGACAGCAGTTAATAAAATGTCTTTAAGACTTTTAATGTAAGTTAATGAAAATTTTGTCTCTTTCACGTCATATAGTGATGGTGATGAAAAGAAATAAAATAATCAAAAGTAAAATCTTGACCAGATCTAACAAAAACATCGTGAAGAATTAAAGAAAATATTTTACGCGTGTGGCAAACATAAGCAATGAAAAATATATTAAAGTGAAAATTTCATTAAGAAAAGTTGATGATGTAATGAAGGAGACGACAATGTTTTTTTACTTTTTATACGTTTTTGGGTGCCTATTTTGATTTTAAACGAGAATTCATGCGAAATTCTAAAATTAGCTGCCACACACCATACACGTATGAAGGAAGATTTTTCTTTCTTATTTTCATATATCATAAAGAAAGGAATTAGTCGAAATAATTTTCCTGCAATAAATCGATTTTTTTCTTCATCAATGAAGGAAATTTCCAACCTTGTCACACTCAGCTGATTCAAATTCACAATTTCGATTGTCGATGGGATTTATCACAGCCATATGTAACTAAGCCTTAAATATTTACGACGATGTAAACATCTAGTGTGTGGCGTCAATTGTTTTTTTATCTGCTAATTTTATTTACAAACAGTCATTCTTGTCATAAATTCTAAATGTGTTGTTTTCGAGGAAATTAAATAGTTACATGATCGCGCGCTACTCTTCACTTCGAATATCTATTTAAATAAATACGCATGATTCAAAGACTATTTTGTGTACATACAAAAAAAAATTGGGGGACAGTAAACGAAATGATTTTCATGACCTTGGCCGTAAATATGATGTCAATGTTGTTGCTCGTTTTTCCTTTTCGTCTCTCAATCATTTTGTCGCTTTCCTGACACACATAAAAGAACAACAAATGACTTGTTTCGATATCCATAAATGAATTAATTTTTAATCGAATGTGTTTAATGTTTGAAGTGTTGTTCAGCTTTGATTGATAAGACAACATATCAAGGTCGCAATGAGATATCTCGCTTTATTACAATGATTTACCACGAGAAATTAATGAAATAAGAAATGTTTTTTATTTAATTTTAGCCGAAATGGAAGCTTCGCTCGATCATATCCCAACTTGGCAAGTGTCTGTAGTTCACCGAAGAAATCATCTTTGAACGCTCAACAGAAACGAGAGCATCATGAAGTGACTGGTGATATTATTTGTCCCTCGATGGTCATGGGAATTGATCATTTGAGAGATCCACGACTGAATAAAGGACTTGCATTTACACTTCAAGAACGACAGACACTTGGCATTCATGGACTTCAACCAGCACGGTACAAGTCACAAGAAGAACAACTGGAACTTTGTAAAATGTCAATCATGCGATATCAAGAGGACTTAAACAAATATTTGTATTTGGTGGATTTGCAGGTATTTAATCGACACATCGTCGGATGTCAAACGTGTGTGTTTATATTTCACTGTTTAAGGATCGCAATGAACGTCTCTTTTTCCGTCTTCTGTCTGAGAATGTGGAAATGATGATGCCGATTGTGTACACTCCAACAGTTGGTCTTGCATGTCAGAAGTTTGGTTTAATTTATCGACGTCCTCGTGGTCTCTTTGTGACGTTTAATGACAGAGGTCATGTGTTTGATGTGTTAAAAAACTGGCCGGAACCGGATGTTCGAGCAATTGTGGTGACTGATGGGGAGAGAATTCTTGGCTTAGGTGACTTAGGAGCTCAGGGAATGGGGATACCTGTTGGAAAGCTTGCATTGTACACAGCATTAGCTGGAATTAAACCGCATCAATGTTTGCCAATCGTTATTGATGTTGGAACAAACAACAAAGATCTTCTTGAAGATCCACTTTATGTTGGTTTAAGACAACCAAGAGTTTCAGGCCAAGCATATGACGATTTCATTGATGAATTCATGGCAGCAGTTGTGAGACGTTATGGACAGAATACTTTGATTCAGTTTGAAGACTTTGGCAATCATAATGCATTTAGATATCTCGACAAGTATCGTGACTCGTATTGTACATTCAATGATGACATCCAAGGAACAGCTGCTGTAAGTTGTTTAAAAAGTAATTTAAATTTATACTCCAAAGTGATTTTTATTCAGGTTGCTGTTGCTGGATTACTTGCATCGAAAAGAGTCACCGGCAAGAAACTTTCAGAGAATAAAATTCTCTTCCTTGGTGCTGGTGAAGCAGCAATTGGTATTGCAGATTTATGTGTCAAGGCAATGATGACTGAAGGAATCTCACAACAAGAAGCAAGAGATAATATTTGGATGGTTGACATTGATGGATTGTTAGCAAAAGGACGACCAGAAGGAAAACTTGGTGGTCACAAATGGTTCTATGCCAAAGAACATGAAGTGATGAAAGATTTTGGAGAAGTGGTACAAAAAGTGCGACCATCGATTCTCATCGGTGCAAGTGCTGCTGGCGGTGCTTTTACACCGGAAATCCTTCAAAACATGGCTGAATATAATGAACGTCCAATCATTTTTGCATTGTCAAATCCAACCAGTAAAGCAGAATGCACAGCTCAACAAGCTTATGATTCTACTCAAGGAAAATGCATCTTTGCATCAGGTTCACCTTTTGGTAGTGTTGAATATGATGGAAAAACTTTTTATCCTGGTCAGGGTAACAATGCTTACATTTTCCCAGGTAAAATTTTCTTTTTTCCCGCGAATTTAAATTTATTAATTTAATTACAATTAAAGGAGTTGCTTTGGGTGTTATCGCTACTGGAACTCATCATATCCCTGAAGATATGTTCTTGATTGCTGCTGAGACAATTGCGAAGCACGTCACTGATGACGACATTCAGAAAGGTTCACTTTATCCACCATTATCACTTATCCGTGAATGTTCTTTCGAAATTGCCATAGGAATATCGAAATATGCTTACGCTAAAGGTAATTCATGTTTTATTGTTTGAAATTGATAAGATTATTTATATTTTATTTTTAAAGGTCTTGCATCACTCTATCCAGAACCGAGTGATAAGAAAACATGGCTCAAAGAACACATCTACAACTTCAATTATGAAAGCTCAATGCCAGTTACATGGCCATGGCCAGAAATGCCTCACATTGCCACACGCCCACTGCAACCATTGATTCTCCATGATGTCAAGAAGTAAATCAAATCACTCTCAGTGTTCGTAAATTTTGCCTGAAAATCTTAACACAACAAATATTTTCGGAAAACCCATTTAAAACAAAAAATTAACTCTCAATTGATAGACAAAATATTAAAATATCAACATAACATAAATCATTTATAAATGATCAAAGCAAATTTGATGCCATCATTATCGGAACACATTATTTATGTAATGTAAAAGAAACAGGACACAATTGGACCTAAACCGAATTATCATTTAATAGTTAAATTTTCTAAAACGTGATAGTTAAGTTCGATAATCAATCGTAAGCTTCTTGGAATCAGAAAAGGAAAGAAAACTAATTTATGTTAAAAACATTACCCTTTCTTAGTAAGTAAATTTGAAGAAATCCTCCGACTTTGATCTAAAACAAAAATTGATGTGAATGAAAATCAGAATGAACAAAAAGAAATATGTAATTTAACGATCATACAAAAATGCATGTTCAACCATTGCATATAAAAAACAAAAAATGAATAAAAAGAAATCTAACAGGTTTGAAAAATATTGAAAGAGTTTTCAGTTATAACGGTTTAAAAACATTCAAATTTTAAAAAGGCCTTTTGACAAGCGCTTTTTGTGTCGTGTGAGCTGTAATACATCGTCAAATGTGCAGCTGATGTTGATAAAAACAGAGAAGTTGAAATTATAAATTTACTCTTTCGGCAGTTTCTCGCTTATCACTTAAAATGACGTGTTTATTACATTTTATGTGAAGCGATAAGATTCAAATCAATCGTACAAGATGATGAGAATTAAAAAAAAGTTCGTTCTTCTCGTTCTTTTTGTAATATTCTTCATTCTTGTTTACTTTTACCTCAACAATAATGTTCCGAGCAACAGAACAAATATATTCTTCATTGAAGAGAAATTAAAGCAATTAGAGAATGGACTTAACAAACATAGGAAACAATTTGGTGAAATAAAGAAACAAATCGACACAATTCACAACAATGGAATAATGAATTCGATCCCCGATCCTTTGCATTTTAAAAATGATTTGCTAATAAAAGATGAAGTTATACTAGAACATGGAAGACCTCAAAACGATGATACATGTAGCATTAATATGGAGGTTGTTCCTAATCCCAACATTCAGATGTTGAAAGCATATCGCGAGATTCCTTTTGATAACATCGATGGCGGTGCTTGGAAACAAGGCTGGAAAATCGAATATGACACTCATGATTGGAATCGACATCATAAGTTAAAAGTTTTCGTTGTCCCACACAGGTAAGAATATAAATTATAGTGTGAAATAAACATTAATTTATAATGTTTAACTTCCGGCTTAGTCACAATGACCCAGGTTGGATAAACACATTCGATGAGTATTATGAACGTCAAACCAAAATGATATTTGCAAATATGCTACGACATTTGGATGAATTTGAAGATATGAAATTCATTTGGGCAGAGATTGTTTACTTTTCCAAATGGTACGACAGCCTCAACGCCAAATCGAAGGAGATAGTAAAAAAGTAAATTAATTGTGAATGCTGAGAATGTTTTTAAATTTCAAGAAATTTATTTTTGTTTTGATACAGACTTGTGAAAAGAAAGCAACTTGAGTTTGTGACTGGTGGTTGGGTGATGCCTGATGAAGCTTGTTCTCATTGGTATTCAGTTCTTCAATCATTGACTGAAGGTCAGAAATATTTGAAACAAGCTTTCAACGTCACACCAATCTCATCATGGGCCATCGATCCATTTGGTCATAGTGCGACATTTGCTTACATTCTGAAGAAATCTGGTTTTGAAAATTTGCTGATTCAACGAACTCATTATTCGGTGAAGAAATATCTGGCACAACGAAAGCAGCTCGAGTTCCGATGGACTCAACTTTGGGATGGGAAAGGAGACACGGAACTTTTTACTCACATGATGCCGTTTTACAGCTACGACGTTCCACATACTTGTGGACCCGATCCCAAAGTCTGCTGTCAATTTGATTTCAAGAGATTACCAGGCTACGGTGTTTCTTGTCCATGGAAAGTTCCACCTCAACCAATATCTGACGACAATGTCGCGAAGCGTGCCGAAATGATTGTTGATCAATGGAGAAAGAAATCGAAACTTTACAATACTCGATCAGTTTTAATTCCACTTGGTGATGACTTTCGATATACTCAAAGTATGGAATGGGAAGCTCAGCGGATTAATTTCGAGAAATTATTTGAATATATCAACAATGATCAGTATTTAAACGTTGAGGCAAAATTTGCAACACTTCAAGAATATTTCGATTCAGTGAAGAAAGAGAAAGAACTTCAACAATTCCCATCGTTATCTGGCGATTTCTTTACTTATGCTGACAGAGACGATCATTATTGGAGCGGATATTTCACTTCAAGGCCATACTACAAACGAATGGATCGAATATTGATGAATTATTTGAGATCAGCAGAAATGTTGCATTCGTGGAATGCTTGGGAAGATTCTGCTGGTTTCGATAAGAAACTTGAAGTGGCACGACGAGCTTTGTCAATCTTTCAACATCATGATGGAGTTTCTGGAACAGCCAAAGATTACGTGATGAAAGATTACGACTCAATGATGACGGAAGGGATCAGAAACTGCAAGTTTGTGATGCAACAAGCAGTTTACCGACTTCTAACTCAATCAAACATTTATCAACCTGACTATTCGTTTGTCTACTTCAACGTCGACGACTCTCGAAGTGCTGGCAATGACGATTCAAGATCAGTGATCATAATTGGCGAAGAAGTTCCATTCAAGTTTATCGTAGTTCACAATTCACTTCCACGCGAACGCCATGAACTGGTGGAGTTTTACATTGCAAAACCTTTCGTTTCTGTCACCGACCCCGAAGGAAATGCAATCACTGCACAAGTATCGCCAGTGTGGACATGGCATCAAAGTATTCATGGTAAGTTTATTTATTATTTATTAGGACAAATTTTAATCAAACTTTTCTTGATCTTAAACAGGAATAATTCAGCCACAAGTATCAAATACAAAGTACAAGTTAATGTTTATGGTCACCGTGCCACCACTTGGCATGACCGTTTACAAGATCAACGCCAAAAGTAACAAAGATGAAAGCATCGGCACAACATTTTCGAAAATTACAATTTTCACTGACACTCCTTTCAACATCGCAGACTTGAGTGAATATCCAGAAAAGATCGAATTCGAAGAACACCGCGAGGTTTCGCTTCGACTTGATGAGTCACTGCCTGGTGCTTCTTTCAATAAATACGGAATGCTCAAATCGCTTTCACAAGATGGAACAATTGTTCCAGTTCATTTAGAATTCTTTCGATATGGGACAAGATCAGTTCATGGACAAAAAAGTGGAGCTTACTTATTCTTACCCGACGGCCCAGCTACGCCACTTCAAGTCAATACTCCAATCATTGTTTTGAGTAAAGGAGAACTACAACAAGATTTAACAGCTGGGCTTCCATTTGCGGTTCATGAGAATATTTTAAGAAAAGGAGAATCTTTAGAGATTCGGAACTACGTCGACATTGGTGACATGGGAAACACGGAAATTGTCATGCGATTAAGCACGAACATCAAAAGCAATCAAACTTTCTTTACTGATCTCAATGGAATGCAAATGGTCAAACGTGAAAGATTCTCCAAAATTCCATTGCAAGCAAATTATTATCCAATTCCGTCAGCGATGTTTATTGAAGACAAAATATGGCGACTGACAATCTTCTCGGGATTGCCATTAGGTGGATCTTCATTGAAGTCGGGAGAGATTGAAATCATGCAAGACAGAAGGTTGAATCAGGACGATGAGCGTGGATTGGGCCAAGGAGTTCTTGACAACAAGCCAGTGTTAAATATTTTCAAATTAGTCTTAGAGAATCGAGAAAGTTGTCAGCAATTGGATGAAAATTATCCAACTGGATTTCTGACTCCAAACTCATACGAAGAACAAAAAATTCTTTTACATCCTATCGAGAAGTTCATTTTCAATGAAAATGATTGGAATGGTGTGAAATATCAATTTGGTGAGAACCATGAGAGCGCTGAAGCTGGCATTGAATTGGTGGCACTTCGCGTGTTGCCAGCAATTCCAAAATCTCCACTTGGTGTTGTGTTGCATCGAACAAATTTTGGTGAATGTGCTTCAGATAAAGCACGTGACGGTAGTTTAAGTTTGAAAAGACTTATGGGNAAAGTTGGACATGGCCATGGGAGTACAAACCGCAACCAATCACAGATGATAACATCGCAAGGAAAGCAGATCTGCTTGTTGATCAATGGAGAAAGAAATCAAAACTATTTAAAACTAAATCACTTCTTGTTCCACATGGTGACGATTTTAGATATGCAACACCATTCGAGTGGGAAGATCAAAGAATTAATTTAGAAAAACTTTTTAATTACATCAATAAACGAAAAGGTTTCAACGTTGAAGCAAAGTTTGCGACACTTCAAGAATATTTCGATTCAGTGAAGAAGGAGAAAGAACTTCAACAATTCCCATCGTTGTCTGGTGACTTCTTCACTTATGCTGATAGAGACGATCATTATTGGAGCGGATATTTCACTTCAAGGCCATACTACAAACGAATGGATCGAATATTGATGAATTATTTGAGATCAGCAGAAATGTTGCATTCGTGGAATGCTTGGGAAGATTCTGCTGGTTTCGATAAGAAACTTGAAGTGGCACGACGAGCTTTGTCAATCTTTCAACATCATGATGGAGTTTCTGGAACAGCCAAGGATTACGTGATGAAAGATTACGACTCAATGATGACGGAAGGGATCAGAAACTGCAAGTTTGTGATGCAACAAGCAGTTTACCGACTTCTAACTCAATCAAACATTTATCAACCTGACTATTCGTTTGTCTACTTCAACGTCGACGACTCTCGAAGTGCTGGCAATGACGATTCAAGATCAGTGATCATAATTGGCGAAGAAGTTCCATTCAAATTTGTCGTGGTTCACAATTCACTTCCACGTGAACGTCATGAGTTGGTGGAGTTTTACATTGCAAAACCTTTCGTTTCTGTCACCGACCCCGAAGGAAATGCAATCACTGCACAAGTATCGCCAGTGTGGACATGGAAACGAAATGTTTTGAATTACTTTCTTGTTTCTTTGTCGGGTTCGTTTGAACCGAAAATTTCAACCACCAAATACAAGTTGTCATTTATGGTGAAAATTCCTCCTTTAGGATTGAGCGTTTACAAAATAAATCAGAAAAGAAATAGAAACGATTGTGCTAAAACCTCATATGCAGAAGTTTCAATATTCACTGATTCGCATTTTAACATCAACGAATTTAAAAAAAATTATCCTGGAGAAATAAATTTTGAAGATCGTTGTAAAAATTATTTGCAACATGATGACGAAAATTTCGGAGCAACATTTCATGAAAATGGACTTCTTGAGTCGCTAGTCTTTGACGATGAAAAAATTCCTGTCAGTTTGAAATTTTTACGATATGGCACTAAAAGTTCACATGGTGAGAAGAGTGGAGCTTACTTATTCTTACCCGATGGCCCAGCTACGCCATTTAAAGTGGGGAAACCAACAGTAATAGTTACAAAAGGAGAACTACAACAAGATTTAACAGCTGGGCTTCCATTTGCGGTTCATGAGAATATTTTAAGAAAGGGAGAATCTTTAGAGATTCGAAACTACGTCGACATTGGTGACATGGGAAATACGGAAATTGTCATGCGATTAAGCACGAACATCAAAAGCAATCAAACTTTCTTTACTGATCTCAATGGAATGCAAATGGTCAAACGTGAAAGATTCTCCAAAATTCCATTGCAAGCAAATTATTATCCAATTCCGTCAGCGATGTTTATTGAAGACAAAATATGGCGACTGACAATCTTCTCGGGATTGCCATTAGGTGGATCTTCATTGAAGTCGGGAGAGATTGAAATCATGCAAGATAGAAGGATGAATCAGGGAGATGGAAGAGGCTTAGGTCAAGGTGTTCAAGATAATCAGCCAGTGTTAAATATTTTCAAATTAGTTTTAGAGAATCGCGAAAGTTGTCAGCAGCTGGATGAAAATTATCCAACTGGATTTTTGACTCCGAACTCATACAGGGAACAAAAAATTCTTTTACATCCTATCGAGAAGTTCATTTTCAATGAAAATGATTGGAATGGTGTGAAATATCAATTTGGTGAGAACCACGAGAGCGCTGAAGCTGGCATTGAATTGGTGGCACTTCGTGTTCTGCCAGCAATTCCAAAATCTCCTCTTGGTGTTGTGTTGCATCGAACAAATTTTGGTGAATGTGCTTCAGATAAAGCACGTGACGGTAGTTTAAGTTTGAAAAGACTTATGGGACTTGATGATGATGCAAAGCTTTTCAATTCTCACATAACATTACTGGCGAAACAGGAAAGAATTGAAGACGAATCCATAAACTTATGCCCGATGGATTTGAAAGGCGTCATCATCAACAAATCCTAAACTTTTTTCATTTAGAATAATTTTTCATGACTTTTCCACTTCAAGTTTGACTTTAAAAGTTTAAATTATTATTTTCCTTCCTTAATTTTATTGTGACTTGATCTTTTGTTAAATATTTGTGATGATATGTAATAAAGTGAACTGAACAAAGTGTCAGCTTGAGAACAAATTTAACTTATAAAGAATTCTATTATGATACTGAATTTCCAGTTATTTTTCGGAGAAGAATTTTTCAAACATCAATAACATTAAGTTATAAATTAATTGAATCGTTTTTGATAAATTTCCTGATCTTAGAAATAAAGAAATTTTGGACGTTTCTTGAAAACAAATTTATGTAGTCATCAAATATTTTCTTTATTAGTGATTTCAAAATAAGGCACAAAATTTTTAATTTTTATTATTTCTTATCAAAACTGATGACTTGCAAATGTGACAAGACTTTACTTTCAAGCTAGCTTAATTTATGGTTTTAATGCACAACAGCATAAAGGAACGCAATGATTATCACCAGGTTGACACGGAGAGAAGTTGTCGACAATTTTTGTATAATCTTCTTCAGGACATTCAAATCCACCGCATTCTGCTTTCTCGTTTCTCTCACAATATGGAATAAAAACTCCAGGGCCATCACCAGCACTTACGAAATCAATGGCGACAAACACTAAAAGATCAATAATTAATATTTATCACTATCAAATAGAGAATAATTACTATAAATAAAGAAAAAAATTCCAAAATAAATTGAAGCCCTCGACATTTCAAATAAATTTAATTTCAACTATAGGTACGAATTGGAAACAAACTGATTAAGATTTTGAATGTTGAGGATCCTTAAATACTCAAATATTCTATACTGATATCATTGTCAGATAAATTAAAAAAATTTTATGACATCACGAAAAAGCACTTTCGAAAGTTACTCTTATTTATGTCAAGTCGTGATTCTTTAAAAGGTTCAACAAAATTTTAAATATCAAATACTGAATGTGTAGATAACCTTTTACTGATTATGTTAAACAATTGTCAAAGCGTATAATGGAAAGATTTGGACCATTGATCTTCTGTTTACGTAGATTCTTAATTTTGTCTGATTATATTCATCGATTATCACAACTCGAGAGTGTCACGATAACGAATTTTCCTCATATTGTCATCCATGATTTGAAGGCAATAAAGTTGAAGGTAGAAGAATTTGTCATTGAAGAATATCATAGAGTCGCAAATAATTAAATTCTATTACTTGATGTTACATATAAGTCGATAATCTTTTATAAATTAAATGAAATGAACCCTCACTGACATATTTGTACAAAAATAATCAACTGCCAACGAAAACAAAAACTTCATGCGATAACGAAAGAAATGAAATTTAGTATTTTTGTCATTCAAGTTAAGTCTGTTCACGACTTTTCAATCTTTAAAAATAGATTTTTAATTTTAAGAAAGTAATTTTGCTTGTAAAACATAAGTTTTAAAGTAGATACATCATAATCAACATTTATCAGTTAAGCAAATAATAAAATTTCTACCGAACGCAAAAAATATTTGTAGAGTCATCCAAAGGTTCATTCAATATCAAAAATAATCAATTTTACTGATAAGAATGATAAAAGAGAGTCATGATGTAATAGTTGACATTTCACGCTTCAAAAAAGTTGAATAATAATACAAAATGTTAATAAGACTTCGGAAAAAGTCAACAATTTTCATCGCTGTTGTCATCGTTTTCTTTTGCTTTTACTTCTATTTGAAAATTCAAGAAAATTGTGATAGAAATCAAATATTTTATTTAGAAGAAAAGTTCAAAGAGATTGAAGGTGGATTAGGAAGAAATCATGAACAGATTGCAGAAATTCTTAAGAAAGTGGAGTTTGTTGACAGCAGCAGCATTTCATTTTTGAAGTTTAAAAACGTTTCATCCGATCAATCATGTAATGTTAATGTGAATGTTGTTCCTAGTCCTGACATTCAGATGTTGAAAGCATATCGCGAGATTCCTTTTGATAACATCGAAGGCGGTGCTTGGACACAAGGATGGAAGATCGAGTACGACACTCACGATTGGAATCAAAGAAAGAAATTAAAAGTTTTCGTTGTCCCACACAGGTGAAAATCATTCAATTTCAAATCATTTCTTTATGTAAAAATTTAAATTTTTAGTCACAATGATCCCGGATGGAAGTGGACCTTCGATGAATACTACGAAGGCGCGACACGATACATTTTTAACAACATGTTACAACAACTAGATGAGAATAAGAATATGAAGTTCATTTGGGCTGAAATTGTCTTCTTTTCAAGATGGTATGACAATCTGCCATTGAGATTTCGAGATAAAATTAAAACGTAAGTTTTCATGAAAAATTTTTGAATGCTGGCTGAGATCAACATTCTTGTGCCTTAGATTTGTGGAAAGAAAGCAACTTGAGTTTGTGACTGGTGGTTGGGTGATGCCTGATGAAGCTTGTTCTCATTGGTATTCAGTTCTTCAATCATTGACTGAAGGTCAGAAATATTTGAAACAAGCTTTCAACGTCACACCAATCTCATCATGGGCCATCGATCCATTTGGTCATAGTGCGACATTTGCTTACATTCTGAAGAAATCTGGTTTTGAAAATTTGCTGATTCAACGAACTCATTATTCGGTGAAGAAATATCTGGCACAACGAAAGCAGCTCGAGTTCCGATGGACTCAACTTTGGGATGGGAAAGGAGACACGGAACTTTTCACTCACATGATGCCGTTTTACAGCTACGATATACGTCGATCTTGTGGACCTGATCCAAATATTTGTGGTCAATTTGATTTTAGGAAGAAGCAANGCTGGAATTATTAACTGTGACAAATACCTAATTAAATAAAAATTTTACTTAGTCAGAAAAATTTATAAAAAATAACAGTTTTTAAATTTTTAAATAATAAACGCACACTATTTCACATAACACGCTGAATTCAGCAGTCATAGTCAGCACCGATTCGAAAGAATTTCTTTCAAGAAAATATAAATTTCTTTAAAAAATAAACTTTCTATAGACTTTAAATAATTTGATACGGAAAGTACATAGTAGATATTAAGTATAAGAAACCGAACAACAAGGAACAACTAAAGAATCACATTGAAATGTAGTGTTTCGTTCAGAATTTTGCAATAATAAGAAGGCCCAATTTAAAAGAAAGAATGTGAAAAATATCATGGCAAAAATAATGCTTTTTCCCTTATATTTTGTTTATCTCTAGGAGTATTACAATTCAACAAGTTCACGACAACAATACAACACAAAATGTGTGATTCTACTTTTTGTTCCGACTTCTTGTCCCTTCTTCAGTCTTGTAAGTAATTTTTTCCCTTCATTTCATCCGCTCCAGGCACACCGTGTCTCGTAAATAAAAAGAAAAATTATATTCAATAAATGATTTTTGCTAACATTTCATGTGATTTGATTTATTTCAGGCGATCAAAGATTGAGCGGGCATAAGAAGAACGATCACAGTAACTTTAAAGAGCTCACCAAAAAGGAAGTTGATGTTATTCTAGGATATATTCAGTTGTGGCCTCAAAGGTATGCATAACATCAATAAAAACACCAATCAACCTTTTAATCATGTTCATTTCAGGCAATGCATGTGTTGTTATCGAGATTTAAAGAATTTTGACCGCTTTAATTATGTGATTCGATCGTTAATATTCCTGATTGTCGTTAAGCTCAAAGACATCAAAACTTTGATAGTTAATACAGTAAAACTTGAGCAGAAAAATGCGGATACAAGCTCAAATAAAAGCAACGATTCAAGTCCTAGTGTAGAGGCTAATGAAAATGCATCAACTGACAGTTTGGATGAGACCAAAAGCCCTACAAAAACTGAAAATCAAAATGTTGACAAGAATACAAAATCTGAAGAGGGAAAGGAAAAAAGTGATGATATTTGGACTCTTCCTGATATAGAGAAAGCTCTAATATTTTCATCAAAAGTTTTCCTGCTTAATTTTCCCCTCTACGTTGCTCATAAACACGGAGTTCATGGTCGAATCGATGAAATCACCCCACAAGACTTACAGTCGCTATCGATGTTCTGCGACATTCACGACACAGAAATTCCCGTCTATTTATACAGAAACGTGACATTATTCTGTACAGCAGGGGGATTTTCAGCCATGCTGCATTGTTTTGAGTTAAACAACTTACCAGTGTCAACAGCACATGCTTGTACAATGGCAATATCAAATATCAAGCTCTGGCTTAACTATCGAAGTATTGTTCAACTCTTTGTTCCATTGAGAATCAAAATCTTGCAGTACATGTGCAAATTATCAGATCAAGATTTGAGATCATCAGCTACAAAGTCAATGGCAGGTAAAATAGAAATTTTCTTCTTTTTTCTTATCACCTCCTTTCAATCATTTCTCATTAATTTGTTGTAGATTTTATGTGGTCGGCAATTAAAGATCCTCTCGACTCACAGATAACATTTGACACAGAAGGTCTTGCATTAGCTTTCAAGTACTTTACATCGTCGACACTTACAATGAGACTTGCTGGGATGTCACAAATCAACGCTCACATCAATTTATTCAATGATATTTGTACAACGGAAACAGTCGCTGAAGTTGAACTAATCGGACGTAAATTAGCTGATTGGTTGACCGAGAATCAAATAATTTCGCATTTATTCGGTCCGAATCTTCATGTTGAAGTGATAAAACAATCTCACATCGTTCTCAACTTTCTTGCTGTTGAAAATCACATAACCGAAGATCACATCTCATTAATATGGCAAGCAGCCCAACTTAAACATTGTTCAAAGACAATTTACGACATTCTTCCATCGCTTGTGAAGAATCTCGCACCAAAGCCAGCGACACATCTCTACATGTTGTTATGTCGATTGGACCCGAAAGAACATACTGAACAAAGTATTTACATTATCAGCGCTTTAACGAAATTAATTTGGGCGCGTGATCGTGGACGACAAATGAGTGTTCATGATATGTCTGGTGCTAGTTTATCACGTGAAATTGCTGAAATTCCATCAAGTTCTGAGAATTCTGTGAGTGTTGATGGCAGTAACAGTGACGAAGATAGTTCAGATTGTCGCAAAAGTCCAATTGATGTTGATGGTTCTGATTCTGGTGCACCACCGCCATGTAAACAACCACGTCACATTACAGCTGCTGTGAATATTAAAAAGAAAACTTTAAGTGAAGATGGAAAGTCACAAAGTGGAAGTTATGTGAGTGAGAAAGAGAAACGTGAAATGTATCCGGTGATTGGTGGACGAATTGATCGCTTTCAAGCTCATAATACGAGCAGCGATGAAGACGAAGCTGACGTGAGTGAAAACATTTCAAAATCTCGTAAAAAGTTTCGCAAGAAAAGACGAAAATTTGAACATTTAACAAGAAAAGACATTCAAGAGATGGTTGAAAGTATTTCCGATGGTGACTCTGATTGTGATCCGCTGTTTGGTGGAAGTGATTGCAGTGAAAGTGTTCGTGAAGATGTTCTTGAACGACTCAACAAAGACGAATCATTCTTTCGAGCGATTTCAGAGAATTGCCATCTGATGGATTATTTACGGTCAGGTGAGAATGACGAGTCATCATCACCAATTAGTAATAAATCAGAGAAGAACATGGCAGACTTTGATGATGAAGATTCGCCATGTGAAGAAGAACTCGCACAACTTACAGCAACTTCATCACATTATTCATCATCACCAAGAAATCGCGTCGATATCAATCGATCGAGTACACCAAACAATCAAACACAAAAATGTCATAAAAATCACATGAAGACAAGTGGAACGAGTAGCAGTAATGAGAAAAATAAATCAAATTCAAGTAATCTTTCATCACCGATGCGTGCACGTTCGCCTGACATTTGTCAACCTGGAAATACGCTGCTTTGGGATCTCTTGCAGGATGAGAAAATCGTGAGTCATATCAGAATTTGTTTCCTTTCAAATCTTCAATAATTAAAAATTAAATATAATTATTTTTCAGGGATTTCTCGGTGAAGCTTTGGCACTTGAAACTGAGAAAACTCTCAGCTCGTTGCTTTGTTTTCACACTGAAAAGTTTGTTCGTAAGAAGTTCATTGAAGCTTGTTTATCAAACATCGCTAACAATCGAAGTGTCATTGTAAGTTTACGATTAATTCCGAAACTTCTTGCATCGTTTCAACAATTTCGTGATGTTGGCACACATCAGGTGACAATGTGGGCTGAACGAACACACAAAATGATGCATCATTTCTTCAACAATCTTAAATGTTATTGCAATCACATGAAGCAGATGAGAAGTGGAAAGAATTGTAACAACGAACAACAATCAACAATCTCATTGGTTAAGAATCAAAATGGAAATTATTTCTATTCACATACGACACAAATTCAAGTTCGATTGCAATTTCTCGCTTCGATATTTTGTGACATTGGATCACCGAAAACATTTCGTTTGACAATTAATCAAATTGATGTTTTATGGTCGTGTTTGTCAACAGATCCTGAATGTGCTGATTGTTTATTTCATTGGCTTCAAGGACAATCAAAGGGAAATGCTCAACACGCGCTCAGTTCTCAATCACTCCAACATATTTACATGAAGAAATGGCCGGAATTGAAGCCTGAAAATATCTCAATGGTGGCTTTGACGTTGTTCCAACAACTCTTCATCTTAGGATTGTCAGATGAGTTGAGAAATGAGAAAGCAGATGTGTTGGGAATGGACAATTTGTGGAAAATTGCACTACGTGCAAATGACACTGAAGTGTCAATGGCAGCAATTCAATACATCAACACATATTACATGGAACATCAATTAAAGAATGAGAAAGAATTTGTTGCTCAATGTATGAATTATTTGACACAAGCATCGGATGGATTGAATAAGCCGGAAGTTGAGGAACAATCGATAATGAGTGTGCAGCGAGCTTTGATGTTGTTAAACACACATCTGGAGACATTTCGTCGTCGTTATGCTTACCATTTGAGACGATGGACTTTGGAAGGTCGCGGAATTATTTCTCATAGTGCATTGAGAGCGGAAGGGCCAGGCCCACCAATCAAGATCATTCTTCAACCTGGCGGACTTCCTGAAAAGTCTTTTCTTCATCTTTATCAAACCGATCTCGTAGCGGATCTCAAAGCGGAGATTGCCAAGTGGTGGGAGAATCTTCAAGGGAATTTAAAGTCATCTGGTGGATCAGCGCCAGTTCTTGGCAACTTATTAAGTGATGGACCGTTGAGAATCATCACGCAAGGACAAGAAATCACGAGTGAATATGATGAGAGAAGTCTCATTGATGTTGGCTTCAAAGATAATCAAATGGTTTATGTGTCGTTGGGTGGGAGAAGTGGGCGACGTCGTGATCATTCAGATCATCCATCAATGTTGCCAGCACCATCAAAAGATTGCTTACCAACAATTCTCTTACTTCAATCACCATATTTCGAGCAATTATTTAAATTAATGCAAACTTTAGGTGACATGAAGTTGACTGAGAAAAGTGGAAGCACAATGCAACATACGCAAGCTCAAGTGTTGTCACGTCGTGTCTGGGATATTCTTGCAATGCTACCAACAAGTCCAACACTTCTCGAAACATTCAAAAACTTTTCATTAGCTGATAAATCATCAACAAAGACTGAAGAGAAAGTCACATTTAATATTCGTGATCTTCTCGATCCCAGCAATTTACAAAAGTTCATGTATTCACTTCACATCGTTGAAAGTCTTTGTAAGTCGAAGTTTGCTGCTTCGGTTAAGAATTCATCGATGACAATAAATCAAAGAAATCAATTAAAGATGAAAATTGCAAAAGCAAAAGCAGCAAAGAAATCGCCAGCAAAAGAAAATGTTGAGAATAACAACAGCAACGTTGTCATTGCTGATGATGGAATGAAGAAAGAGAATCAGGAATTATCTGAGAAGAAGAGTGAAAGTGGAGGTGGAAATTCAAATGCAACACGTGATCAAAGTGATAATGACATGAACATATCAAAAGAAGAATCAACGATTGAAATGAAGATTAAGAAATCCATTGAATGGAGTAATCAATTCATTAGAAATGGTGGATTGGAACATTTATATGAGATTTTAATGTCGGGTGTTCTTCAAAAGCAAGATGGAAATTACAACGAATGGCGTTATGATTGCCTTTGTAGTCTTCTTAGAATTCTTTGTCTTCTCGGTGTTGATGATTTAAAACAAGAAGAGAATATTATCGTGATTCCAAAGCTCAATGATAACATGTTGAAAATTATGAATGTTAAGAAGACAATTTCAAGAATCTCATCGATTCTTAACGAAGCTGCGGTGCCTCTTAAAGATAATCATTACAAGACTGGATTCTGGGGTCGATCACAAGTTGTGAACTTTGCAATGAATCTTCTTGTTTGTTTCGCTTATTCATCGCAAGATGCACGTGAAGCATTGTGGATTGATAGTAACAATTACAGTTGGCTTCAGAAGCTCATTTTAGACGATCCCGATCCGCATGTTCGCCGTGAAACATGTGCTGCCCTTTATCGGTTATGCATGGGAAACTCAAAGACATACAGCGAGCTGATGATTCCACTTTTGGTGAAGCTTATAAGCTTTTTACCGGTTGCTGAGAAAATGAAGACACAATCGAATTGTTATTCAATCATTGAAGATGGAAAGGAACCGTATGGACAAGCATGTCGTGATTACTTTTGGCTTTTATCACGTCTTGTTGACAACACAACGCCGGATCTCATAAAATCGAATAATCTTGGCGAAATTCAAGACAATATGACAATCGATATTGAAGCGTTATGTTATCAAGTGTCACAATTGGTCATCAATCGTGATTACCTTGAAGGACGACATATTCAAGACGATGGACTTGTTGGATTATTGAATTTAATGGCGAATTTAGTGAAATATGATCCGCCATTTAAATACAGCCAAACGGGACAACAGTTTATCGCGAAAATATTTGAATGTCTTTTTGCACTTCCAACCGCTGAAAATCGTGATCTACCAAAATGCAAATCACAAGGCGCTCGTGCGGCTTCCTACGATTTACTCATCGAACTGACAAGAAATGCTCCATCCAATTATATGTTGCTACATAAAATGCTGATGTTGCAACATCGACCAGGTCCGCATTCACCGTACCCTTGGGATTATTGGCCACGTGATGACGGTCGATCAGAATGTGGATATGTTGGATTAACAAATTTAGGTGCTACTTGCTACATGGCTTCATGTATTCAACATATCTTCATGATGCCACAAGCTCGTGAATCAATTCTCTCAGTTCCAACAGATGCTCCAGTTAAGCACAAGCAAACATTTAGTGAACTTCAAAAGATGTTTGCTTATCTTATGGAGAGTGAAAGGAAGTCATACAATCCACGATCATTTTGTAAAGTTTATCAAATGGATCATCAACCGCTTAATACTGGTGAACAGAAAGACATGGCAGAATTTTTTATTGATCTCGTATCGAAATTGGAAGAAATGACACCGGAATTGAAAGCATTAGTGAAGCAAATATTTTGTGGTGTTATAAGTAATAATGTTGTGTCATTGGATTGTGGACATGTCAGTCGAACATTGGAAGAATTTTACACAGTTCGATGTCAAGTTGCTGATATGAGAAATCTTCAAGAATCGTTGGATGAAGTGACAGTGAAAGACACTTTGGAAGGTGATAACATGTACACATGTTCACAATGTGGAAGGAAAGTGAGAGCTGAAAAACGAGCATGTTTCAAGAAACTTCCACAAATTCTTTGTTTTAATACAATGCGATACACTTTCAACATGGTGACGATGTTAAAGGAAAAAGTCAACACACATTTTTCATTTCCACTTCGTCTTGACATGTCACGATATGTTGAGAAAACTTTGATGCCACATCACTATCAAGAAGAAAAGCTGAAATCACAAATGCGACGAAAGGTCAGTGAGAGTGAAAGTATTCACAGTGCATCAACAAATCCAGAGGTTAAGATGAAAGTTGATATGTCATCGATAAATGATTTGAGTCCTTTGGACAGTGACATGAAGGAAGTTGATGAGAATGAGCAAATCAAACAAGAACAGCAAATAATTGAAGAGGAAGAATCAGAAGATTTCAATGAGAACTATGAATATGATTTAGTTGGTGTGACAGTGCATACAGGAACAGCTGATGGTGGTCATTATTATAGTTTCATTAAAGAACGTGATAATGGAAAAGGCGGCCCAAGTGATCGCTGGTTTTTGTTCAATGATGCTGAAGTGAAACTCTTTGATCCATCACAAATTGCTGCTGAATGTTTTGGCGGTGAAATGACGAGTAAAACTTACGATTCAGTTACGGAAAAGTATTTGGATTTCAGTTTTGAGAAGACGAACTCAGCTTATATGTTGTTTTATGAATGGCGATCGGGAAAAGGTGGAAACGAACAAAGAAATCAAAGTGAAAGTCCCACAACATTATCACCTGGTTCTTCAGTTTCACAACTTCAAGAAGCTGGAAAAAGTGATGAAGCTCAAGCATCAACAAGTGATCAAAAAATATCAGAAGATGCTGTTAATAAAAAGATAACAGATAAACTCGCTATGGATATTGCTGATGAATTTGAAAGGAGAGTTGATGAAGATTCACAGAAAAGTTTATCATCGTCAATTGTCAAATCAAAACGGAAATCTTTTCTCAATAAGGACTTGGAGGAATGGATTTGGCAAGACAATCGTCATTACTTGGAGGATCGAAACATCTTCGAGCATACGTATTTCAAGTAAGTTTCGATTTTTTAACTGTTCTAAAAAACATTTTGTACTAAAAAATTTCAAAATGTGCAAATGAAACATGGTGGAATCTGAAACACCTAAATTAATTTTTATTTAATTAAATTATAGCTTTATGTGGCAAATATGTGGTCATGTTCCTCAATCTTTGCTTGTTCTCAATGATATAACATTTCGTGCAGCTCAACTGTCGGTTTCATTCTTTATGGAAACTTTCATTCATGCTAAAGAAAAAGTAAGTTCATTGAACTTTCGAAGATTTATGAAAATTATTAATAAAATTTAATTACAGCCGACAATGGTGCTATGGGTGGAGCTGTTAACGAAACAGTTTAATGCAAGTCAAGAAGCATGTGAATGGTTTCTTCAACATATGTCACAAGAGCCTTGGTGGCCAGTTCAAGTGTTGATTCAATGTCCCAATCAAATGGTTCGTCAAATGTTTCAACGTCTTGTCATTCACGTTATTCAACGTCTCCGACCACTTCACTATGCACTTTATCTTCAGAAAGAAAATGAAGATGATGAAAATGAGATGTTTGGTGAGATGTCATGTGTGACGAAGTTCATCAAGTCTTTGATATTATTATTGGAAAATGGTGCGAAAGCTCACTTACGTCACTTAACAGAATTCTTTGGACTTTTATATGAATTCTCTCGAATGGGTGAAGAGGAAACGAAATTTCTTCTCCATATTAATGTGATTAAAAGTGTCGCTGACTTTTATCTTGGACATAAAAATCAAGATTGTGTAAGTTAATCTTTAAAATAATTTAAATTAAATTTTAATTCAATGAATTTTATTCATCAGATTGATTCAACATCAGACAACGATGAAAACTCTTCAGATGAGGCATTATCAGTAGAAAAGACACGACCAATTTCACTTGATAAAATGATTGCGCTTGTTGCGACACTCGTTGAAAGATCACGTGGAACTGATCACACACTTTCATTGTCAACTCGAGATTATAATGCAATTGCTGGTGGAAAAGGTTTTCCTTTCTTGTATCAACAGATTAAAGATAATATAAATCCAAATCAGACAAGGCTGTTAATTCATGCGCTGTGTCGATATGATGAGAGATTAGCTGGATCAATTATTGCAATGTTGTTTACTGCTGTCACGAAGCACACCGAAGTAAGAATTTTCCTTGTTTTCTTTTGTCTTATTAACTATTTAATTAACAATTAACAGCTCTGTGGACCGTTTTTCAAACTCCTAACACTTCTCACCGAATCATCATCGGGTCCATCAGGCTTACCATGCTTCTCGCAACTTGTCCTACAAAGAGTTTGGGAAGCTGCAGTTTTTTGTCCCCAGCCATCACTTGAATGGTTGGCCATTCAAGCTCCAAGAAATAAAGTTGCACATGCTTGGGTTCTATCAACAGCTGAGAATTGGGTTGAACAATTTCTTATCGGACATCCAAATCTGAGAGTTAGAAATGGTGAGTTTCTCTTGCTTCAATTTAATTTAATTAATTCTAATCTTCTTCTACTTCTCAGCTGCTGCCAATCTGCTTGTTTCTCTCATTCCATCACAAAACTTTCGTCAAAATTATCGTGCATCGACACATCATAAAATGATTTTAAATAATCAACATCGTGAGATTGGTGGCGAGGCTTTAATAATTCTTCACAGTGTTTTGAGTATTCTCTTGGGATTACTTCGTGCAGCTAAGAATTACACTGACATAAGCTTGCATGGCACAGTTAAGTTGACTTCATACTTTGGTCTGATGGCTTATTGTATGATATCAAAGACTGAAAAGTTGATGCTTGGACCGCATATTAAAACCTTATGGGAATTGTTTCATCCGAAACTATCAGAACCAAGTGTCCCAGCGCATCACAATAAACAAGCTTTGTTAGCTTTCTGGCATCATGCAACTGTCGATTGTCCCGAAAATGCACAACAAGTTGTCAACAATCCAGAAATCACCAAAAACATTGCTTTCAATTACATTCTGTAAGATTTGTTTTATGAACTTTTGAAATTATTTTTATTAAATTCGATTTATTATTTAACAGTGCTGATCATGATGATTCTGAAGTCGTTCAATACAATCGCTCAATGTTGCCGGCATATTATGGACTTTTACGTCTTTGTTGTCAACAATCGCGTGCATTGACGAGACAACTTTCTGGTCATCAAAATCTCCAGTGGGCGTTTAAAAACATCACGCCACATCCCACACAGTACAACCTTGCAGTCGATGAACTGTTTAAACTCATGGCTCTCTTTGTTGCAAAACATCCCGAATCAACACAATCGGAACTTGATCAAGTTTGTGTGTTTCGACGTCAAACGTTGTCAGCTTATCTTGGAGCTCTAGATGCGCGTGTTTCATGGAACACTCTCGTGTCAGCTTTAAGAATTCTTGTTGAAACTGAAGACGATCGTTTGTTCTTCGTAAGCAATGGTGGATTGACGATGTGTTTTGAAGCTTTGCTTACTTTACATTCCATGTATCATGAAGCAACTGCTTGCAATGTAACTGAAGATCTTCAAGACTTATTAAGAGAAATTGTACGATTAGTGCAGGCACTGAGACAGAATTGTCGAGAGCAAAAGAAGAAATATCCACCGTCAGGATATTTCAAAGGACTTCCGGAAGTGATTCGTCGTCTCACAACACTCTTGAACACATTCAACCCACCGGAGATGAGGAAATTGACTTTGGATGTTCTTAAGGTAAGTTGAAAGATAAAATTTTGATGAATTGTGAATTATTAAATAGAAAATTATTCTCAGGAACTTGTAAGATGTATTCCAACTGAATCAATTGGAATTCTCACACCGATTCTCACTCATTGTCACATACCAAGTCAACAACATTCAATGGGACCACTTGGGACTTTCTTTCCACGAAGAAACAGTAAAAGTTCCGGTCAAGGTTCGTCATCATCATCATCATCGGCATCCGTCCAAGCTGCATGGATATCAGGTTCGAAGAACATTCCTAGACCACCACGTCCAATGATTCAAATGAATATCCCACGAACGCAAGCGTTTACAAATGTCAAAGGTGTTGACAAAGAATTTGATTTGGCTGTTGAACGATTTTACAAGCCTTATCATGAGTTTCTCGATATTTTCTTTCGAGCGGCTGTGACAAGTAACATATTTAATGAAACGCTTGTGAATTTGAGCCTGGTTACGGGAGTTGAAGCTGTTGGATGGCATTTTAATTTCTTTCCCACTTTCTGGGTTGGAATCAACAAAAATAAGAACACACAAAGGTAAATTTATTTATATTTATTTTTGTATGTTTATTAAATATTTTCTTAATTATTTTTCACAGATATACTGAGCTTTTAATAAACAATGGATTGATTCACGAGTACATTGATCGTGTTTTGAAAGATGAGCGAGTGTCATTGAATGATTCGATGATTGCCAATTTCATTGAGATTTACTATGGAAAAGTGAGTTTTAATATATTTCCGTTTGAAACAATTTTAATCCATTGTCTTTTTTACATAGGTGAGAACACAACTTTCTCTTATAAAGCTTCTCGATGTCATATGTATAAGCATGGTGCAGAAGGATAATTGGGAAGAGATCTGTGGTGACTTGCATGCAGTCAGAATTATTGGACAAACAGGAGGTTTCCCAAAGTCATCGAAAGAGAGTTTGAAGCGAAGTCTTCAATGTGTGCTCCAGAAAAGTAAAGAATTTGCTGTTGAAGGTGAGTTTCTTATATTAATTTTAATAAAAATAATTTTTTCAAATGAAATTTTCTTTAACAGAAGAATCACCACCAAAGAAACGAAAAATAGGTGGCGCTCCATGCAGTAAGAATGTTGACAAAAGCAATTCAACATCAGCCGACGAGAAAAATGAACAAGTGACAAATACATCAAACGACAATATGAAAATTGAAGAATCATCAAACGAATGTGAAAAAGGTACAAAAGAAAAGGAAAATTCAGCAACAACATCATTAGCTCAAACAACAAACGTAACATCAATTTTGACAATTTCACGAAACGATCTTATCAAAGACATTGAGAGTCACATTGAAATAATTTATGAATGCTTAGATGAACTGAATGAAGCATCAGTAAATACAACAGGATCAAATTCAACGTCGTCTAATAAAACGACAACAAATGATATCATTTTGATATCATCGGAAACATCAAGTCAAGAAAACATCGAAACTGCCAATGAAAGTACAGAAATTGGTGATGTTAAGTCGAATGATCCAACAGCAGCCCAGAATGAGTCTAAAAACGAATAAATTGAAGCTTAATTAATGGAAATGTTTTGAAATGAAAAGGAAATTAATGTTAAAACGAATTTATTGAACACAAGTTATTGTATGTTTGGTTCTAAAATCGACTCTCGATGTCATCATCTTTTGAGTCATCTTAAGAATTATTGAGTATTTGTTAAGATGTCAGATCCAATTTTTTTTAATTAATTAATAAAATTGATGTTTTAAATCCTACAAGAAGAACTTTTTATTTCTTAAACAATAATGAAATTACAATTTTTTCTTTCATACTAAAATTAAACTTGTTGTTGAAGAAAATCTAAATACAAAAATATTTTCCACACTTGTTGAGTTTTCAAATCTATCAACTCTTTCTCTTAATCTGATCACTTTCCTTAATTCAATTTGCTGAAGTTTTGAAAATATTCATATGCAAGTAGGAATGTTCAATAATTTCTATATGATATGAAGCTTATTTTTCTCCATGATTTTGACGTATATGCTTTCTCATATCTCGTCTATGGAAGTAGCTTTTTTCACACTTGTTGCATTTAAAATTTCTTGTCCTATATTTCCTATGTTTCATCATGTGATCAATGAGATACGCTCGACGGTAGAATATTTTACCACAATTATCGCAGATATATGTGCTACAATCATGGGATTGAAATATTCGTTCCAAAATGAATGATTTTCGGCATGATGTACATGAAAACTTTCTTTCTTCATGATATTTTGTTCTATGAATTCGTAACCCAGCTTTGTTATAGAAAGAAGTTTTACAAATATCGCAATGATAGTCTTTTGTCCTATATTTTCTGTGCCTGTCTATATGTTTAGCAAGGCAGTATCGGTTGTTGAATCTCATACCACAAATATCACATGCAAAATTGGAAATTTTACAAACGTGGGATTTAAATTTTTGTTCCAATTTGAATGTTTTTCGACATGATGGACATGAAAACTTTCTTTCTTCATGATATCTTGTTCTATGTCCTTGAAACCCAGATAGGTTATAGAAAGAAGTTTTACAAATATCGCAATGATAGTCTTTTGTTCTATATTTTCTGTGCGTGTCTATGTGAATAGCAAGACCGCATCGGTCGTGGCATCTTTTACCACAAATATCGCAAATTAATTTATTATACCGACAACTGTGAGCTTTTAAACTTTCTTCTGACATGTAAACTTGTTTACATGTTGTACAGGAATAATTTTTATCTTCATGAATGTTCAAAATGTGGCGTTGCAACGAGATCTTATTGAAGTAAGATTTTGAACAAATGTGACATTGAAAATC